GCTACATCGAAACTCTTTGTGAAGTACATGTGAAACCTTCTAGAAAGATGCACTCTTGTAGCTTGACTGGAGAAAACAAGCTTATGGTAAGGGCCTTGGGGGGGACCCAGAGTGGTCTTTGACCACACAGGTAGTGCAAAGGTTATCAGGTTATCAACCATATCCCTTCCCAGCCTTCTAGGTGGATAACGGGTTATGCTTCCCTTCCTTCGAAGGAACAACTGTTGTGGAATATTTGTTTACACTGTAAAGATGTGTCGCTGCCTAAGGTGCCTTCTTACTGGTTTAATAAAAGCTAAATGGCCAAACAGCTAAGCAGGAGAGGTAGGCGGGACTTCAGGACAGAAAAAGGAAACTCAAGATGAGAGAGGCCAGCCAGATGTGGAATGAGTCAAACACACAGGATGAAGGAAGTAAAAGCCATGTGGTAGAACATAGATTAATAAAAATATGGATTAAGCCGGGCGTTGGTGGCGCACGCCTTTAATCCTAGCACTTGGGAGGCAGAGGCAGGCGGATCTCTGTGAGTTCGAGGCCAGCCTGGTCTACAAGAGCTAGTTCCAGGACAGCCTCCAAAGCCATAGAGAAACCCTGTCTCGAAAAACCAAAAAAAGGAAAAAAAATATGGATTAATTTAAGTTTTAAGAGCTAGTTGAAAACAAGGCTAAGCTAAAGACCAAGTTTTCACTTACTAGTAAGTCTCTGTGTCGTTATTTGGGAGCTGGCTGGTGAGACAGAGAAAGACTCGTTACAAACAACCCTGTGTGTTTGACTTTCCAGGTTCTCCTAGGGCTTATCTGTGAGCACAAGGACCTCAGTGCCTCCCACACAGGTCAAAGACGCATAAGATAATTTCCACAAAATCACAGAAGAAAATTTCTCTAACCCAAAGAAGGAGATACCTATCAAAGTACAGAAGCATATAGAACACCAAATAGACTGGTCCTATAGAAAATGTCCCCCTTGGCACGTAATAGTCAAAACACTAAATGCACATGATGAAGAAAGAATATTAAAAGCTGTAAGGGACTGGACAGATGTTCTATGATCTCTAAGAGACCACAGATGCCAGCCCAGACTACTATACCCAGCAAAACTTTCAATAACGACTGAAGGAGAAAATATGACATCCCACAATAAAACCAAATTTAAGCAATATCTATCTACAAAACCAGACCTACAGAAGGTGCTAGAAAGAAAACTCCAACATAAGACAGAGAAGTGTAAGAACCAGAGGGGAAGAAGGATACCAAGGAAACAAGGACCTCTGTATGAACTCACAGAGACTGAGCAACATGTACGGGGCCTTTGCAGGACTGCCCCAGATGGGGCCCCAGAGCTGAAAGAAGTGGGCATATTGCCCCCAGTCGCTAACCCAGTAAAAATTTAGTTTCCTCCAAAGGAGTCTCACTGGGGGAAACAGACTACTCTTAAGGGTAGGCCGCATGCCTAGTTGGAGAGGTCTAACAGAAAAGGAACTTAATGGTATCTTTGGGGTTCCTATTCTCATAATCTTGTGTATGGGCTTTTAACTGTTCTCTCTCTCTCTCTCTCTCTCTCTCTCTCTCTCTCTCTCTCTCTCTCTCTCTCTCTCTCTCTCTCTCCCTCCTTCCCTCCCTCCTTCCCTCTCATTTTGTACCCCTGTTCTGAGACAGAGTTTCTCGGTGTAACAGTCCTGGTTGTCCTGGAACTCGCCCTGTAGACCAGTCTGGCCTCCAACTCATAGAGATCCCCCTGCCTCTGCCTCCTACACCCAGTGCTGAGATTGAAGGCTTGTGCCATGCCACCCTTTCTGTATCTATTATGAGTGACCGAATGAGTGGTCTCTGCATCTGAATCTGTTTCTTGTGCCTTTTCTTGGACTCTATTCCTTCTGGGTTTTTGTGTGTGTGTGTGTGTGTGTGTCCTATTCCAATGTATTTTTTCTTTTCTCCTATTATAGTTTATTTTATCTCTTTTAGCTTGTTTGTTTTCTAATGAGATATGGATTGGAGGGGAGTGGGAAGGAGCTGGAAGGAATTGAGGGAGCGGAAAAAATAACCAGGATGACTATATGAAAACAAAACCTCGATTTTCCGGAAAAGAGGGGGGCATGGGGGTTCATTGTGCATGTACCAACCACTGATTACATCCGTGCCCAATCTAACTTTTCCTTTGCCATAGACAAACCTGTTTCTTTTCTTTCTTCTCTCTCTCTCTTCTCTCTCTCCTCTCTCTCTCTCTCTCTCTCTCTCTCTCTCTCTCTCTCTCTCTCTCTCTCTCTCTCTCTCTCTCTCTCTCTCTCTCTCTCTCTGTTGTTGTTATTTTAAAACAGGGTTTCTCTGTGTAGCCCTGACTGCTGTTGAACTCAGAGATCCGACTGCCTCTGCCTCCTTAGTGCTGGGATTAAAGGTGTGCACACAGCCACAATCCTGCTTCTTTTATCCCACAAATTCTGCCCTCAAGAGGCACATTTCAGAGCTGGTCCAACATCTCCAAATGTGTGACTGCTCTGTGAATGAAATCTTTGTCTAGTAAAACTCACCTTGTCGCTAATTGGCTATGGACAAAATAGGCCTGGTTTTGTAACAATTTGGTTCCTTCCATCCCTGGAAGTCACTGAAAATGGTCTTCATTCTCCCAACTACACTAGCCTTAATCAAACTCCTCCAAACTCGAGAGGCCTCTTAAAGAAAGTCTCAAGTTTCACCCAAATTCCCTTTCTAAACACGATTCCTGCCAAACCAAAGGAAATGATCATGTCAGTCTGAATTCAGCAACGGACTTTACACTGAACACTGAATTTGAAAAGTAGAAACTCTCTTCCCTACCTCCAAAATTTTACATTATCTGTTCATGTCAAAAATAGAATCCTTGGCACTCAGCAAGATGGCTCAGCTGGTGAAAGGCAGTTTGCCTGAGTTTGATCTTTGGGATCTGGATAATAGAACCAACTGTCTCAAGTTGTCCTCTGATCTCCATATGCACACTGTGGCATGTACACACACACACACACACACACACACACACACACACGTACGCACGCACATACACATGCACACACACACATGCACACGTACACACAATTTTTCATTTTTTAATAAAAAAAACTTCATGATTAACTATGGCCCTTGTATTTCAAAAGCACTCAGACATCCAAGAGTGAAAATAGAGATGTTTCTTCTTTTGATTAGTGAAGAGAGAGGAAGAAGGGGGCTTAAAAGTGTTCAGAGCATTGGGTATTCATCCAAAGACTGAGGGCAGTCAGTGAGGGCAAAGGAGCTTCAACAAGCAGGTTGAGGAAATGGAAACAAGTGCTCCTGTATCCTGTTGAGAAAATCTTGTACTGTGCAGCTACATGCCTTCTATCCAGACGGAAGTAAGCAATTTTAGTGTAGTGGTTCGAACAGCAACAGCCTCCATAGGTCCATATATTTAAATGCTTAGCCATCAGGGAGAGGCACTCTTTGAGAACGATTAGGAGGTGTGTCACTGGGGATGGGCTTTGGGGTTTCAAAAGCCCACAGAAGGCTCAGTGTTACTCTCTCTGCCTACAGATCAGGATGTAGCCCTCAGCTACTTCTCCAGTGCCTGACTGCTGCCATGCCATGATGATCAGGGACTAAATGGCAAGCCCCCAGTTAAATGCTTTCTCTTATTAGAACTGTCTTGGTCATGGTGTCTCTTCACCGCAATAGAGCAGGCACTAAGACATCTAGTAAAGGAACAAAGTGGTGAGACCATTTAGGCTGTCTTCAACATAAGAAACCTTAAGTGAACAGAGGCTTCCTAATGTTCTAATGTAATAACCAGTGTTGCCACAACCCCGGGACCTCAGGGCATCAGCTTGTAGTGAATAAACAGAATGTTCATGTGTACACCTGAGCTACCATGCAGACAGCTGGAGAAACATTAGCTCTAAGCATATCGGGCAGGACAATTCCAGAAGAAACTAGAATTTGAATCTGTAAGGAAGAGCTCATCAGTGGAGATAGGTGTCATCCAGTTGGCTCAAGGCCAGGAAAGAAGAGGGACAGAAAAATGAATTCCCACCCCCATGCCTGTCAGCTAAAACACTTCTCTTGCCCTTGGATGTCAGAAAGGGGCCTTCAGTCTTAGACTGAAAATTATTCTGTTGACTTTGGACTTGGTTCCAAGTCCTTTTGACTTGGACCAAGCCCCACTACCAAGTGTGTCCCCATTATCTGGCTTGTTAGACAAGCCTATGTTAGATGTGACCTCCATGATTGCATGAGCCAGTTTCCTTTAAAAAGTCCCCCAACACCTTTAATGTTTTTAGCTCAGTCTCTCTAGTATGCAAACCAAAACTCAACTGATCTCTTTTCCTTGGCCAATCTTTAGTCTATCATCAATCATTTTTGTATGAACCTCACCATGCTTTCTTCCTTAACTATTCTGGAACACCTGATGGCCTTCAATGCCAACTGCTCTGGTTGTTCTCTCTTGCTGTGATAAAATACTAAAGCCAATGTGGGCAGGAAAGAGTCCATTTGGTGTAGAGGTTACAAGCCTACCATTAGGGGATACCAGGAACTGAAGGAGGAACATGAGGAGGAACACTGACTTGCTCCCAGGCTCAAGTTCAGCTATCATTCTTATATACCCTAGGCTCAACTGTCTAGCATGGCACTTCTCACAGTGGGCTGGACCCTCCTACGTTAGTAATCAAGAAAATGCCCCACAGATATACCCACAGGCCAACCCAATGGAGACAATTCCTCAGTTGAGGTTCTCTCTTCCTCTGTGTGTCAAGTTGAGGACAGAAGCTAGTTACGACACCGGCTGGAAACATTTCAGTCTACCCCACATCTTGATCGTTCTCCACATCACTTAGCACCATCTGATCCATGATTACATTACCAAACTTTTCCCTCAACCACGATGTTAGCTAAAACAGATCATTGCCTATTTTGTTCATTTCGATAACTGCTGGATCTCAATGTCTCAAATCAAGAAGTCTTCAGTCATTCAGTTTTAAAAATCCACTCACAGTCAATAAGTAGGAAAAATATATTTATTGAGAGTTCCAAAAGAACTTCGTAGAGGAAGAGGAAGTACAGGTAAGATAATGGGAAGGGAAAGCCAGCAGGACCAAGGACAGGTTTTCTGTCTGCTGAGGTAGGGCAGTCATTGGCTTTATTTTCTCCTCATATAAGATGCATTCTGGAAACTGCTTTCTCTGCTGAAGACCACAACATAGCATTCCCAGCCTCCCACATCTCCCCAGAGCAGTGGCTCTCAACTTTTCTAGTATTGCAACCCTTTAGTACAGTTCCTCATGTTGTGGTGACCACAACCATAAAATTATTTAATTACTAATCCATAACTATAATTTTGCTACTGTTCTGAATGGTAATATAAATACTTTTGGAGATAGAGGTTTGCCAAAGGGTGTGTGGCCCACGGGTTAAGAAACAGATTTTTTTGACCTAGAAGAACAAGTTCACTGTAAATATGGACTTGTATACATAGCCTGAGTCAGGTATACCACCCCTGGTCCAGGCAACCATGGCCAAAGGAATAGATAGATAAATAACATCATCTGCCAGCAAATGGTTTTCGGTTTCTCAGGGATACTTTGTTCAAAGGTAAAACTATTCAACCTCAGACATAGTTAGACATGGTCAATTTTTTCTTAACTTTTTACCTTGGAAGCATTCCACTGAGAAAATGACATTCAAGGGAGTCTTTAATTAATGTTTGGTAGAATTCATTTCAGTTCAATCAGTGGAGTTCCTAACCATCCCATTTGACATCAATTCCTTAAGCAATTTAACAGCACAGGCATTTGAGAAATTTGGCTAGAAACAAACACCTTCCCATATGTTTAAGTCTGAGTTAACATAATAAATTAAACAAAAATAACTAAGTTCCAGCAACATTTCATTATTTTTGCAACCAAAGTAAAATATCAAATACTTCCCGACTAAGAAACACAAGTCTAAGAAGTCATTAAGCATAATGGCAAGAGGCCATTATATATTGAAATATGTCAATTATGTTAAAACACTCCACATAGCAAGTTAATAGTTTCAATGAATATAAAAACAACTGAGTTGAGTGTGGTGGCACACAACTTTAATCCCAGAACTGAAAGAGACAGAGGCATAAATCTCTGTGAGTTTGAGGCCAGCCTGGTCTACAGAGTGAGTTCCAAGACAGCCAGGGCTATACAGTGAAACCATGTCTCAAAAAACAAAACAAACAAAAACTCCTTAACATAATTGCATGGAGGACTGTGGGATAGTCTCCTAATCCTTTCAGGGATTTGTAATTACTATAAATTTTACACAGGAGCTGCAGCTCTCTTAGTTTGTCAAAGGGAGTGAGTAGTTAGGGTCCTACAGGAGAGCACAATGCAGGGATAAGGAACTCAAATCTGGGGAGTTGAGCCACTTTAATTTAACATACAAGAGAATGACTGGCACTTGGGTAGTTGTGAGGAGAATTAAATGAAGTGACAGCCAGGAAACGCTCCAGAGTTACGGGTGGGGAGTATGTGGGGGGGAGGGACAACACGACACAGCAGCTACAGCTTTAGGATCACAACTGCTCGAGCAAACTCTGCATACTTAGGAAGATTTACTTCAATAGCTGTATTTAAGTAAGTCAACCTTCTCAACCTTAAAGCACAGGCTCCCATTTGTGACTAATGTTGTAACTACTCAAAAAAGAAAGCTCCAGGGTTCTCACAAGACACAGTATCATATCGCACAATTGCTTCAGCTCACTAAAGGGAACTGTACCCTATTGTTGAGCTTGTGTCCACACCAGAACATTCCAGACATATCCCTACTCTTCTGCTTTAAGGGAATCTAAATTCGCAAAAGTGATTCATGACAAAATCTTTCCCCCAGGACTCCTTTAGCTCGGGATGCGGTCCCCAGACACACTGCTAACCTAAGGACGGTAACTGAAGGAAGGAAGGTAGGGCAGCGATAGCTGTGGATCAGCATGCTGGTCACCAGCCACTGACTGTCATCAGGAATTGAGACACCTCAGAAAGCCAAGAAGACGAAAAGAATCTCTTTATAAAAAATATAGTTTACAATGAACTTTCAAGAACACAATTTTTCAAAGCAAACCGCTCCTGTTTGAGGTTGGGACCCACACACTGAGGAGAAAAGAAGTGGAAATGCAGGAGAGAGGATCGTCAGAAGGCCACACATGCGGGATGTGCGTCCAACACACGTATGGGCTAAAAGGCCATTGCCATAGGGGAAGGACAGCCCTTCTCACAGACCTGAGGCAGCTGAGGATGGAAGCAAGGCAACGGACTGCGAGGAGGGAAGGAGTCTGGTTCAGTCAGGTCTCTCTGGACTTTGTCCTGCAAAGCAGAGACAGGCAAGACTAAAGAAAACACCAGTTGAGAGCACAGTTCATAGGTGACAAAGACTCATCACACCTAAAAAGGCTTCCAGGAGCAGCAATCTGCCACACTTGCAAGACAGTCCCACAAGCAGCTGGTGAGAATGTGTGACCAGGACTTCGAAGACCCCAGGAAGAGGGGTGAAAGTTCTCAGGGGCATTGAGTACAGAGAAAGGTTTGCGTTGCTGTTGTTCTTGGTATTTCTCAGGCTAGAAGTAGAAAACAAAAGAAAAACCAAGGTTCTGTTCCCTTGGCAGGGCTCCACTTGGAACCCTCTCCAGCTGGTCACATGAGGGCCCACAATAACCAAGGGTTTGGCTACATTAAAATCAGTATCAACTCATCCAAGGTCGACAGACACTCTGACCGAGACAACTAAGATCTTCTAGTGGAAGACGTCACAAGACAAATCAAATTAATACATGGAAAACCACGTCTTGAAACAGGTACTTATTTCCCAATTATAATTAATCCAGTCTCTTTGATGAGACTCCTGTAAATTATCTTATTGGATGTCTTGATGCTTTCTTCTCAGTAATTAAGAGTTAGGAGTTCTTGTCTGTGTCACCGGGCTGACACGGTGACTCTGTCTTCTCTGGGAGTTCAGCAGGCACATGCCCCAACAGAGAGGCACTGTCATTCCTTGACATGGTAGCGAACAGCATGTCCATCATCCCTAAAGTTTCCAGGAGTTCTCTTTGGTAATCAATTTCTTTTTCTACGAGTCCTTGAAGTACTATAAACTTTTTATCAACTACTGGTGACTGGCCAATCACAGGCAGATATATATCTACAAAGGGACAAAAAATACATTAACTAGAAACATCTTCTGTAAATGAAATCGACAGTTAGAAATAGTATGGCACTAAACTATAAAGACACTGAAAACCAGTATTTTTAATAATTAATTTGTGACTTACAGGAAGCACAACGATCCATCTGATTAAATCCATTTTGAAAAGAAATAATTACACAAAATACATGGTATGGAGTCTTGTTTTCATTTTCATGTTAAAAACCAGATGACCGGGGGCTGTGGAGATGGCTGGGGGTAGAGTACTTGCTTTGCAAGCAGTTAAGATCTGTGATCCCAGAACCCGTAAAGAAGAAAAGAAACAGAAACTGACCACCTGGCATACAACTGTGATGCAGGCCTGGGGAGGTAGAGACAGGTAGTCCGGGGCTTGCTGGCCTCTGAGCTCCAAACTCAGGTTCAGTGGGACAGCCCGCCTCAGAACACAGATGGAGAGTGAAGGGGCAAGACCCAGGACGCCGCCACTGGCACACATGAAACTGTCAGGTAGAGGGCTGCAGGAAGACAGGTAGCCCAGGGAAGGCCAGGGTGCAACAGCAAGGCAGGCAGACGAGACCCAGAAACCCTGAACTTGAGGCGTCTAGAGGAAACAAAGGACCCTAACATAAGGACTCAGAAGTACACGGGGTCAGTCCCCTCATTGTGGCTTCAGTAAGAGAGAAAAGGACCACTTTGGTTGACTCCAGTTACACAAGCCAGTCCTCTAGAAAAAGACCTGGGACTCACACGGCAAACTCAGTTTACTCGAGTTTGTCACGGTGAGGAGGAGTCACCTTATGCTACTACTCTCCTGTGGGTGGGATGGGGGCGCGCGCGTGCACACACACACACACATACACACATACACACACGGACGTACGGACGGATGGACGGACACGAAGGATCCTTTGCATTTCTTATTTCGAGGCCCCAAAGGCCTCTCTACTCTACTGGATAAGAGAGCAGCCATCACCAAAGTCCATGTGGACTTGGGAAATGGTTGTGACTTGGACATTACATCAGAGACAAGGATTAAACGGTGGGAAGCAAGAAGTGCCCTCTACCTTTTACTTCAGCTGAGAACTGCAATCGGAAGAACAGAAGACCAATTGCATGGGAGGAAGAGGCGTGGGAGACTGGCCTGGCCACACGACAAGCATTCCTCAGAAAGAGTCTAAGGAAAAACCAAATGGAAACCTTGGATATGAACAATTCAATAAATCAAAGCCGCAATGGAAATCGTCTGGATTAAGTCAAGCAGGAGAAGGTTGGAGCTCTTAGGCTGAGGAATTAATCACATCCATACACACTGTCAACAACCAAAGCAAATATGCTCTCAGATTTCAAGGACTCTGGGACACCAGAAAGGAAAAAAAATTCTAAAAATCTTCGCTGTAGAAGCATTTAAAATCTACGCAATGAAACTGGAGCAGAAAATTTCAAAATCCAGGGAAAGATACAGACATCCAAATACAGTGGGCACTCAAAACCCTAAACACCATTTCCAGAAAAGAACCCTCCTATGTCGTCCTATACCTAGTATGGAACAAAGCACTACACAGAGAGCAGTACCCAGTTACTCACACAGGTGAGCTCATCACTAGGACATCAGATCTGTCAGCAAAGCAAGGGAAACAGGAAGTGACGTCAAGCCTTAGGAGGAATAACCACCAACCAAGAGAATCCCATCCACTGAAGCCACCCTTTAAAACTGATGGAGGGAGCAGACTGAAGTGCGATCACTAAACCAGTGTAAGGAAGACGACAATGATGGAAAGCCAACACACAGGAAAGAAAGTCACAATCGCACAGGAGACTGAAAATAAGTAACAAGGGAAAATAGATGAGCAAAAGAAAATTAAGAAAGAATCAGATGTTTTCAATTCAATAAACTAGCAAATCTCAAGAAGAATGGACAAGGAAGAGAAGAACAGAGATCAATTAGGGGAAACAAGGATCTTTTTTTTTTTTTTTTTTTTTTTTTTTTTGGTTTTTATGAGACAGGGTTTGTCTGTATTGTTTTGGAGGCTATCGGTCCAGCCCGGCCTGGAACTTACAGAGATCCACCTGCCTCTGCCTCCCGAGTGCTGGGATTAAAGGCGTGCACCACCACCGCCCAGCGGAAATAAGGATCTTATAGGAATCAGCATACACCTCTCTATTCTAACCCCCAACATAAACAGCTTTCCTTCTCCAATTAAGCATGCAGACGTGGCTGTGCATAGTGACACATGCCCCTAACGGCAGCAGTGGGGCCTGTGCACACACATTCATATAAACTAAATAAACAGGAATACACACACACACACAAAATAGATAGATAGATAGATAGATAGATAGATAGATAGATAGATAGATAGATAGATAGATAGAAAAAGATCACCATTATAGATGCTTACGGGGAAAACTTTCTTAAATTGTACTTATTCTAGTCCGATCAATTCAAATCTGCCACTGTAACATTTATGTACATTTTAATTACACCTGTTCCTCTAGGTTTTCTGTTTTAGGTTCTTGCACTGTTTTTTGATGCTGAAGCACAAATTGACACACTCTGCCGCTGAGCTCTGCAGTCTAAGACCTCAATTTTCACAAGCATGTTGGAAAGCGTATGTTTTACAACAACTTACCAATGACTATTTCAGCAGCATTAATCAGAACAGGGGCAAATCTCGGCTGAGACAGATTCCTACAAAGCAAAACTTCTGTTTAATGAATCTTGCAAGGCCTGTCCCTGGCGCTTAAGCTGGCATTTGGAAACCTATTCCCCATGCTGAGTTGCCTCGCCCAGCCTTGATACAGCGGGAGGAGCTGGGTCCCGCCTCAACTTGATGATCCATGCTTTGTTGATGCCCATGGGAGGCCTGCCCCTTTCTGAATGGAGAGAGGAGGAGTGAAGGGGGAGGGGAGAGGGAAGGCAGTGGGGAGGGCATGGGAGGAAAGGAAGGAGGGAAAACTGCAGCTGGGATGTAAAATAAATTTAATTAATAATTAAAAAATAAATAAAAAGAAAAACATCCCTAAAACATTGTTACACTGTAAAGAGCAAACTAAAAGTAGATGTGTCTCACTGAGTAATAATGGAAGACTTAAGCCGCAAAAGCCAAATCAAGCATACCTTATCAAGAAGTTCAGAACCCGGGTAATTTCCTTCTCATCCCGACCTGCAAGAGCATTGGCTAGGACTCCTCTCCGATTCAATTCCTTTATGATGGAAACTGTAACCTCGGGCGTCTTTATTACACAATTCGGCTAGAAAAATGTTCAGAGTCAGTACAGCCAAAAGGACGGACAAGAAAAAGATCACTACCCTGCACTAAACTGCCAAGCTTACCTCCACATTCCCAAGTCACAGTAAATCATAAAGCACCATCAACATGGTTCCCCACATGTCCCTTCACTTTTTTCTGACAGGGCCTCACTTTACAAGCCTTGGCAGGCATCGAACTTTACTACGTAGCCCAGGTTGACCTCAACCTTGTGATCTGCCTGACTCAGCCTCCCAAGTGCTAGGATGAGAGGCAAGAGCCCTAACAACAGAGACGATATTTTGTTTTTTGTTTTTTTTGAGACAGGGTTTCTCTGTATAGCCCTGGCTGTCCTGGAACTCACTGTGTAGACCAGGCTGACCTGGAACTCAGAGATTCACCTGCCTTTGCCTCCCAAGTGCTAGGATTAAAGACAGGCGCCCACCACCACCAGGCTAGAATAATTCTTCAAATGCTCTTCACTAGCTAAGCATGGCAGCATACACTTATACTCTCAATGCTGGGAGGCAAAAACAAGAGGACCCTGGGTGCTCACTGGCAACCTGGTGAGCTCCCTGTCTCAGACAGACTTTGTATCACCTGACACAAGTCAGGGTCACTTGTACAGAGGGAACATCAGTTGAAAAACGTCTCCGCTGTACTGGTGTGTGGACAAGTCTATGTGATATTTTCTTGATGTGGGTGCCCAGCTCACTGTGATGGTGCCATTCCTGGCAGGTGGTCTGGGTTGTACCGGAAAAAGAGGTTGAGCAAGCCAGTAAACAGTGCCCCTCCATGGCTTCTAATTAAGTTCCTGCTTCCAGATTTCTGCCTTGAGATCTATCCTGACTTCCAACTTCACGGGATTATAAACTGTAAGCTGAAACGCCTTTCCTCCCCAAGGTGCTTTGGTCATGGTCTTTACACAGCAACAAAAAACAAACTAAGACAGGTATGATCTCAAGAAGATGGACAACAATTGAGGCAAACACCCAACATTGATCTCTGGCCTTCCCACATGCATGTACATGTACCCTGCCACACACACAAACATTAAAAATAGTAAGTGAAAAGAAAATTATTCTCACTCACCTCAAGGACCCTGTCAAGTGCCTTTGAGATCCGAAAACTTTTCAGGTCCCTGTCATACCATTCTAGGTGTTTCTTTACTGGCCTGTTGATCACGATATCATCCTGAATGAAAACACAAATTTATAGAGGAAGTAAATTAGTTATCTATGTAGTTCCATTAAAAATAAATGTTTTCCAGTAGAGCTGGCCCTGGTAATGTGAGTAAGAGAGACCCGGATGTGAGGGCCCAAGAGCAGGAGAACTTGCTACATCTCCTTGCTGCAGGCTGCATTGGGTGAGCTAGTCAAGGCAGTGCTGAAGAGCTCATCCAGGTTGTGAAGATGAAGGAAAGCCAGCGAAGCTGACCAACCCAGCCCCCACCCAGAACCAGGGCTGTGAGTTTGCCCACCCCAACATCCACTGAATCTGTGAACTGATGGAGCATGTGAAGGGACAAGCCTACAGATCCAAAACAGCAGGATCTCCATGACACAGGACAACATCGGTGAGAGCCCATTATTCATAGCGCAGCAGAAGCCAGAGGCCTCAAGCCAGACCAACAATTCCTGGTAATGAATAAGTAAACATGAACAGACTGTGTGTCTCAACTGGACACTAGAGCTTCCATGACAGGATTCTTCTTTGTTTTTGTTTTTTCCTTTTAAATTTGGTTTTGTTTTAGGGGTTGCAAGGGAGAGAACAATTCGAGGGGACGGGGAGATAAGTGGGATCAAAATGCATGATGTGAAATCCATAAATAATCAACAAAAGTAAAAACAAATAAATAAATATGAATATTTAAGTAGCTAAAGTGATACATTTTAAAGTCAGGATGTTTTTACACCATACAACAAATAATGTTCCTGTGTTCATAATTCAAGTGATATACTTTGCTATGTTAATGTGCTTATGATTTTTAGCTTACTCAAAAAAAAAAAAAGGGCAGGCAGTATGACCACATATAAAGAGAAGTAAAAACAAACCAGAGACTACAATGTAATCATCACACCTCTGATGAGCTCCTGGGTCATCAGAACTTTACCTCTCGGTCCTCTCCGACAGAGAGTGGGTGACAGACGCTATTTTGAAGATGGTAAAGCACTGTATTATTTCATGATTCAGGGTACTAAGTAAGTAGTCCCTGTTCCCCATTATTCTTCAATAATGTACTACAGCAGTCTGGAACCAACTTTGATGGAGTGAGAAGAAAATAATATACATATATGTGAATCACACTTTGCAGTAAGTTCCAGGAATGTCATAATTTAAAAAGGTAAGAAACACATAATCACCCGTTGCTTCGCGTAAATTTTTCCTTTAATAAATGTTCGGTATGCAGGCCTCCTTCTTCTTGAAAGAGATTCCTTCTTTGCTTCAGATTTCCGGTGTTTAACGCTCAGTATTCCATTGGTCATTCCCACAACTATTGTCTCATCTTGATGCTAATGGTAATCAGAAAAAGTCTATTTTTAAGCAACATCTATAGTACCTTTGACTTGAAACAGCATTTGCATCACGTCTGCTACCAGTTTGAGTCAATACAGACAATGATCTATCCAAAATGTTATAGCAAATTCACTTTTCCTCCAGGGTACCACTATCAGGACAGACATTGTGGTCCTTGTGTAGTACTGCCAGTGAAGTGCATGTGATGAGAATGATGATGTTGGCTGATCATGCTAATAAAATGCTGATGGCATCTTGACAAGTTTCAAAATAATTTTCTATGCTCTCTGAATAGGAAAAGGACTACACAATGGCATGACTTTTGTAAGCTGGCTCCCACAACAGCTGCTCCTTACTTTCTGCTTGCACTCTGTTGCATGATGTCTTTCTCTCTCGAGTCACTTTTTAAAAATTACAACAGTCTTGGCTCAAACATCTAATGTGCCTTATTTAAATCCAAAGATAACCCCCCACAGATTCCACTTTACTTTTACACCATAGGCATGGTAAGTAACAACTTGAGAAGAGCTCGAAGTACGTACAGACAGTGCCAGACTCAGGATGGAAGCTGCATAGTCAAAGCTGTGGACCACTTTGTAAGAAGTCGTACTGTAGACCTTGACTTTCCTGGTGAGAAAGAAAGCTGTCAAGTCACCTCAGAAATGACGGAAAACAACAGGTTTCTGTTTTTAGCAAACTATATGAATATCAAAATTTACACAGTCTAACTGGGTACTTGATTTTAATCCCAGGCCTCGAGAGGCAGAGGCAGTCGGATCTCTAAGAATTTGAGGTCAGGCTGGTTTACACAGCTAGTTCCAGGACCAAGGGCTACACAGAGAAACCTTGCCTTGAAAAATAAATTACTTAAGTAAAATTTACACAGTCCAGAAAAAAACTGATGTAATATTAATTACAAAGTACTTCACCACTGAGTTCCTTGAAAACAATAAGCAACTTTGAATAAAGACTGACTAGGAATTTATAAAAGAAACCAAGACAGACTATACACCAAGGTCATTAGAAGATAAAACAAAGGACCAATGAATATGCACAGTGAGCTACAAGGTAGGGTTTCCAAGCCCAGCAAGGCCCGCAGTTGGGGACAGTGGCAGCATCTCTGGCCTCCATTCCCTGCACAGCAATAACACCGCACCGTACTTCTTCACAGCAGAGAAGAAGTACAACCTGGAGACGAAATGACTAATGGAAAAAAAAAAAGGAAATCCTACAGCTTGCCAGTACTAGCCATGTGTGGCTACTGAACTCTTGACATGTAGCTACAGAAAAGGAGGTAAGTTTAAAAACCATTGAAACATCTATAAAGTATTATATCATAGCATCTATTTCAAAGACAAAATTCATTTCTAGTATCTTTCTAAGTAAACTGATTACATGTTAAAATGATAGTTCGTATATTATTAATTTTACTTTTATGTTAGATAATGAACTACATGAAATATGTTACTAAAAGCAATTTTTTGTTTTGTTTTTCTAGACAGGGTTTCTCTGCATAATAGCCCTGGGTGTCCTGGAACTCTCTTTGTAGACCAGGCTAGCCTCAAACTCAGAGATCCACCTGCCTCTGCCTCCCAAGTGTTGGGATTAATCACACCTAGCTTTTTTTAACCTTTTTTTTTTTTTTTTGGTTTTTCGAGATAGGGTTTCTCTGTATTGCTTTGGAGGCTGTCCTGGAACTCGCTCTTATAGACCAGGCTGGTCTTGAACTCACAGAGATCCGCCTATCTCTGCCTCCCGAGTGCTGGGATTAAAGGCGTGCACCACCACCGCCCAGCTTTTTAACCTCTTTTAATATGACTACTAAAGCATTTAAAATTATACATGCAGCCTGCATTGTGATTTTGTTCGACAACAGTTTTAGAACATCAAAAGTAGAATACTTCAATTGACTATTTAAATGACTTCAGTGCTAGGGATGGAATCAATAGCCTTGATGCTTGGTAAGTGCTCTAGCCACTAAACTACGCCTTGAATGCTCTAACAATCTACTTAAAGTCACAGTACTTGCACCACATTAATGCACAGAAATATTCACATGAAGTTGAAATCTCAGCCCTGGCTGTCCTGGAACTCACTATGTAGACTAAACTGACCTTGAACTTAAGAGATCCACCTGCCTTTGCCTCCCAAATGCTAGGTTTAAAGGCGTGGACTACTACTCCCGGCTGAAGTTTTATACTTTAAAGAATTTAATCTAGAAAATAATATATCCTCAGAATAAAATTTTCAAAATAAGTATGTATATGTGAAATGGCTTTAAGAGAAACTATGGGAAAATAGGTTATTTCAAAAGATCAGTGTTCAAGAATATAAGCTAAAGCAATTAGTAAATTATTTCTGGGGAAATATAGTTATATGAAAATTAAAAGTCAAACTATTTTCAAATCAATAGATTTATCTTCTATAAAAACCACTGGAACATTTTTTACCACAAATACTGCTAAAATAACTCAATTTCTAAAGCAGTAAAAGCTGCTAACAATGTACAAGAAAACTAGAATGTTACCTATCCAGTGAGCCGGAGAGTAACCTCTGTCCAGAGCTGCTCAGACACAAGCATGTCACAGTCTTATGATGATTTTTCAAAGACACGAGCAACTGTCCTCCTTTCAACAAGTCCCAGACTTTAACATAACGACCTCCTGTGGAAAGAAATAACCACTCATGTGATATTCTGCATGTGCTCAGAATGCTGGAGACCCGAGAAGCACTCCTCCCTGGAGCTAAGTGAAGCCTCCAGAGCCAGACCTCACACGCTGGCCCTACCTACTTAGAGAGTCCCTACCCACAGAAATGCTAACATGACTAAGTTATTGCTTATTTTAGGTACAGCAAAACAAATAGGGAGCTGAAAATATTTCAAGTAAAGTATAATAAATCTGCTGAGAGAAATGCTGGGCCTGCAAGATGGTTCAGTAGGTAAAGACACTTCCTTCCAAGCCTGAAGACCTGAGTCTGATCCCTGGGGCCCACACGGTAGATAGCAGGTGGCTCCTGAAAGTTGTCTTAGCTAGAATAACAGAAGGGTGCAGAGTAGACTTCTGGGGTCGGATGGGACTCATACGGTCTGGGACTTTAGACCTGCCACTCACCATGTTGCCTTGGACAAACTAGCTAACACTTTCATTATTTCCATAACTGTAAAACAGAATGCTAACTACCTGGGAGAGCTGTCTAGCATTAGAGATGTCACGCAGATAGCAGCACAGTGCCAGCGTGGGCCAGACACAGTGAATGACAACTACTGGCTCGCGCCACTTACCAACTGAACAAATACCTAGATGTGAAATTCAAGTGAACACCAATAATCTACAAATGACAACTCATAAGGGAAAATCTAATCTCTCTGAAACCAACAATAGTGGTGAAAGCTCTCTTGAAAAGCAATACCTGAAGACACCAGGAGACCTCCAGAGGGGAAAAGCAGGACACTCTCCACTGGCTGCCCGTGCTCCACACAGAGAACGTTCTTATTTGTCCGGGCATCAAACATCTTCACAGTGTGATCATATGACCCTGAAATGTCAATGTTGGTATTGTGTGAAGTTTGCTCTTTAAAACAATAAAAAGTTTGTCTATCCATATATTAAAATTAAAAGGAGAAAAAGATTACATGAAATTTTTTGAACACACACACGATTCATAAAGTCGGTACTTCCAAGTCTTCTGCTACTACCGTTCCTAAAGCACTATGTAATACTACATAGACTCTTACTGGCTCTGACCTTCAGACTCCTATCACCATGTCATCGCCCGAGAATCTGTACAGGCACCACACAAACCTATAGTGCTATGGCTGCTGGGGCTCTATGACAGCCAGGGTGCCATAAGCCTCTGCAACCTGATATCTATGATACTGTCAAGCAGCTGTATATATCCCCAAAAACATTTAGAAGAAACAAAACACACTATCGAGAAGAAAAAGAAAACAAAAAATAATTGACTTTAATCAAAACCACACACACCACACACACACACACACACACACACACACACATATTATGGAGCTGAGAATTGAACCCAGGGTCTCAGACAAACTAGGCAAGTGCTCCATCACTGTCCCCCAACTCTAGTAATGAAAATGTAAGCCCATCCACCTCAAAAGAACCCACAGCAATAAAGTGGAGACAGCCCACCAACCTGTTACAAAGAGGTCGGGATTCAGCTTGCTGGCACAGCCACACCTCACATAATCAGAATGATCTTTGAATGTCAGAATTTCTTTGGAGTTTGGAATATCCCATAATTTAACTGTATAATCATCAGCACCGGAGACCACATGATACTTGTCAGCTGTAAAATCTACTGTATGAACTGCTCTGAAACATCAAAAGTCAGCAGATTACAAAAATGGGGAAAACTCTACCATCTGCATCTTCTAACACAAAATGTAACTTCCTAGATTAAAAAACAAAACAAAACAAACAAACTGCCTCCTCAGGTGTCGCGCCCAACCTCAACCAGCAATGCCCAGACTCGTCTTTAAGCAGTTTATTCAGGAACCTTGAACAATCTTCTTCTGCTGGGGAGCGCAGGGGAGCGCCAACCCACAGCTAAAAAGCCCTTGGGCGGCCAACCCCAGTATGCCACATGGAACATACAGATAGGTCCACGTATGCAGAAGCAAGCCTGATAGCCAGCCTTAACCAAATACAGGTGTTGTTTATCACAGAGAGCACCTGCTGTCGGGCTAGCAGAAGGCGGAAGCCAGCGCCATCTTAAGGGTGCGGCACTTCACAGCTCTCTACACTCAGGTTCGGGCCAGCAAGATGGCTCACTGGGTAAAAGCACTTGCTGTCAAGCCTGATGGAGTTCCATCTGGGTCCTCCATGATGAAAAGAGAGACCCAGCTACTGAGTGCTGTCCTCTGACCTCCACACGCATGCCATCAGATGTGCACACCCGAACACACACAATAAGTAAACAAATCCTCAGCTTCAGGAAATAGACAATATTTATGGAAGAAAAAAATAGGAGAAAAAGGAAAACCTTTAAAACAGGTGTTTGTAAGTTAAGTGTAATACTATGTACCAAAATGTAATACTATGTTACTATTAGGTCAACAAGAATATTAAATAATAGATGCAATAATTAGTGAAAGTTAAGCTCTAAATGTTGCAACAGAGGTAATTTTAAGTGCTTATTTACTTATTTTATGTGTATAGTGTTGTATCTGTATGTGTGTCTGTGCACTGCATGCATGCCTGGTGCCCTCAGATGTCCTGGGACTGGACTTATAGACAGTTGTGAGCCACCATGTGGGTGCTGGGAACTGAACCTCGGTGAGAACAGCAAGTGCTCTTAGCCACTGAGCCATCTCTCCAGCTCTGCAAAAGTACACTTTTTAAAAAACATAACACAGAGTTTTTTCAAAGATGAGAAAGACTTGCCACAGAGCAGAATCTCGTTAAAAGAATTTCTGTTTTGAGTGTTTCAGTAATGGGTACAAATATCCTGACAGTTTGCAATTTTAAAAAAAGAAACACTTTGATATTTAAATCAATAACAGAGTTCAGCAATGACTTTAGTGATCCTGAAATAGAAGTCAGAAAGCTGAATTTATCAAAGAAAAGAAAGGTAGCAAGATTTCAGTGTGAGAGGGTCCGGCCAGAGCTGTAAGGCTACCGTTAGACCTGTGGTTCACATCTTCAACCGGTCACGAGCCCACTGAACCTCCAGGACAATTAGACACTTCCTAAAACAACACACACAACTTCAGAGCAGTCACAAGCTCTAGAAACTGGATGGTTAAGTTCTTTGTCTGAGAACAACAGGAAATAAAGTACATGCAGGTATACTCTTCACACAACCACTACGTGTTTATCAAAAGCATGGAAGCAGAGCTCTCAACAGAAAAACAACCAATTAAAGACCACATCAAGCTGGCTCTTACTTTGTATGGCCTTCAAATTGCCTGAGGGGAGCCCTCCCACTTATATCAAAAAGTTGAACCACACCATCTTCACTGCCAGCAACCAGCAGCTGACCATCCTGCCGAAATGTAGCACAGTATGCTGTGTCCTTAAAACGGGAAAAGGTTTTTATAGGTTCTTGAGAGTATCGGCCATAAATGTGGATCTGTAAGATAAAAAGCAGCATTTCACTAGATGGCCCAAGCTCAGCAGTAAATCCTATAACAAGAACAAAGAAGATCACTACTGTACTTACTCTTGAAGAAGCTGTGACAGCATAGTTATACGGAGGCTGAGAAGAAAAGTCTACTTTGGACACTGCACCAAACTCCTTAATCTGGACAGGAGTCTTAATGAAAAACAAAAGAGTATTGGCAGAGTTAAAAAGGCAAGCCATACTTAAGCATCATGCTATTTCCTATGATCATTTCCTTTTGATCTTAATGCCAGTTAGTGTGTTGTATTAGGAACAGGAAAGGGTGAAGCAAAAACCACTCTACTGCCCATCCCTCCGGCAACTCCTTTGACACCACAGAAAATAAGCACAGCTGGAGAGTCACATCCCATTTCTCAGTGGCTGACTTTGCTCCGATGCCCACCAAGAGAAAGGAGAGCTAAGCCTAATCAATCAACTATGATTCTAAGTTAATAAAAAGATGACCAGACCATGTAAACAGACCTACATCTTTTTTGCACCCGCTAACCCATTTTAGCAATCTTTGCATATAAGCAATAAATTTACCATTCATATACCATCCACCAATCCATGTCTAATGGACATGTTTTTCAAGAATTCCAATATTACATTGTATACTTTAATAAACATTTTACATGTCTTAGTAAACGTTTGAAAGCGTGCTAGGCTTCAAGATATGAGACAAAGCAAAAATGGTGTTTTATAAAATCGTAACAGTTATTGTCAACTCCCTCAATTTTCTTTTTCATTTATGTCAATATAAGAGAAAAAAAGTATCTAAACTGTTATCTTATTTGGCTTTATGTTCTGTTTTATTAATCTTACTTATTTGTACTCATGTGTATGTGTATATCTGCTTGTGTGTAAACATGCACACGTGTGAAATGCCTGCTGAGGTTAAAAAAAGATACTAGATTCCCCTAGAACTGGAGTTAAAGGCAACTATAAGCTGCCCAATGTGCTGGGAACTAAACCCAGGTCCTATGCAAAAGCAGCAAGTGCTCTTGCCTTCTTGGAGCTGAGACTATCCTCAGCCTCCCTGAGTAACGAAGAATGACTCTGCACTTACCATGCGGCCTCCACCTCTCCAGGGCTGAGATTTAGGCACGTGCCACCAAATAGGTTTGTGCAAGGCTGGAGATTGAACCCAGGACCTCATGCATGCCAGGCAAGCATTCTACCAACTGAGCGACATCCATTTTCAGTCTGTGCGTAAGGCTCAGTCTCTTTATGCTTTTATTATCTGATCATACTTCATTTTCCACAAATCTCCTAATTCCAGACATTTTCTAGTTTTCTAGGTTCTCAATTTAAAAAACAATTGCAAGCCTTATTAGAAGGTAGAGAAGCTAATTTCAGAGTAAGAAAAAGCAAGAAAGTCTTCCTGCATGTAAGATTCAAGTTTTACAGTTTCATTTGCCATTGCACACATGCTCTGCATTAAAAATCTGCATGGTTAAAATAATTGGGTGGTATGGAAAATAGATAACAAATTATCCACCTGAGCTATTAGTTTTAGCTAACAGTTCTGCTAGCATAAGCTGGAGAATTAACATAAATGGATAAAGAAATGTCCACATTCCCTCTTCCCTCATTTCCTCCTGTACTTTACCTTATAATTGTTCCAGTACAGAGTGTCTTGGGTGATTTTTTCACCAAGTACAGGATACGTCTGAATCGCTACAGGTTTATAACCAGCCATGACTTCATATAGTTGCACTGTTGTCCCAGGGTCAATAGTCTGGAACCGATGTCAGGGTGCTGCAGTGACTCTGCCTTATGTCTAAAAAAAGAACTTACTTTAAAGCACATATTATTTATAAACTTTCACATGTAAGTACGATTTTCATTCCACTTTCTTTCAAAAAGCTGTGTGGAGCTTCATAGATTAATGACCAACAAATCATTTCATTGGAGCCCTAGAAGAAACACTGGAAGAGTACAGATCGGGGCACCACACTGCACTATCTGTACATACTAGCTCTGTGTGTGTGTGTGTGTGTGTGTGTGTGTGTGTGTGTGTTCAAACCTCCAAGACCAGTCTGCAACACTGGAGATTAAGTATGACTCAGCCTTCAAATAGTCCAAACAGAAAAGCATGAAGGCCTGAATACCTTTTTTTTTTTTTTGACAAAGGAAATAATACAGAACTGGAAATATAAAGTTATCCCTATATATTTGACTTCCTAAAGAAAAAGATGCTAAGAAGAAAGGAAAACAAAGCTAATATTTTAGTGTAGAAGCTTCTGGTGAATTAGAGATAATGTTCTGACATATAAGACATAAAATTAAATGTTAAAAGGTTTAAACTGTAGGCTAGAAAACCGAACGAAATAAAGCAAACTTAAAATGGTAGAATAACATTTAAAAAATGAATTAAAGCCCTTAACATGCAATGAAACCAGAAGCATTCAACTGAAGATAGTTTATTGGATGAATGGTTCTAGCAATACTACTCTCCATCCATTCTGAAAGGCCTGCAAAGATGACATCAGTAACACTGAAACAAACAGTATGACATGTTCTGACTGCCGCAAAGCAAACCAAGATTCAAGAGAGAAACTTTTCTATTCAAACACCTCCAACGTGCAAAATAGTATTCAAGGCACTGGGAATTCAAGGACAATAAACAGACATGATCTAAACCTTCGATGATTGGGCCTATTAAGAATCTAGACGTATCTTCATCCTCATTCCAAGACTCGAAGAAGCATCACTGCCCTCTGATACAGCCACTGGAAATCAAGGTTTCAATTCTCAAAGATTTCTTTGTGTGCAAGAGTGTGTATAAAGTCAGAGAGTTGCCAGGCGTTGGTAGCGCACGCCTTTAATCCCAGCACTCAGGAGGCAGAGGCAGGCAGATCTCTGTGAGTTCGAGGACAGCCTGGTCTACAAAGTGAGTTCCAGGACAGCCTCCAAAGCCACAGAGAAACCCTGTCTCGAAAAACCAAAAATAAATAAATAAATAAAGTCAGAGAGTCTTTCTCTATGGTGCTGCATCTTATTTCTAAGACAGGATGATGTCTCTCATTGAACATAAAACTCACCAACTGACGATACTGCCTAGCTAGCAAGCCTGATTAGCAAGCCTGGGGGATATCCCTGTCTCTGCAGCCTAGCACTGGGATTTTAGGCATACTCCAAGCTCTCCTTTTTACCTGGGTGCTCGAGATGTGACCCCACTATATCCACTAAATCATCTCCCCAGCCCTTAATCTCTCAGACAGGGTTTCTCTGTGGCTTTGGAGGTTGTCCAGGAACTAGCTCTTGTAGACCAGGCTGGCCTCAAACTCACAGAGATCCACCTGCCTTTGCCTCCTAAGTGCTGGGATTAAAGGCGTGCGCTTCCTCTAAACCTCAAATTCACTTAACCCTAGTTTAATTGCATCTTTTTGACAACTGAAATTAAAGTAACACCATTCAAAAGTCTCCTGGACTCCCGCATCCACCTTCCAAATAGTTACTAGTGTGGCTACAAAACTGCTGAACACTGCCCAGAAAACAAGCCCTAGATCCTTAGCATGTAAGGTTCCCTCTGCTCAGCCATATACGCTTCACCTCTGGCTATTACCAACTGTTTACAGTTCACTAGACTCAGCACACGCACTCATTCTTGCTTCAACACGTGCTCTCTGCCAGGAAGGTCCTTTCTCTATCTGTTTGAGGTCACTGTAGGAAATCAGACTGTCCTTCAGAAATCCCTCCCTGCCTTCTGAGACCGGGTGCTCTCTCCTGTGATCCTGTTTGGCTCTATTTCTGTAAGTGTACATAATTACACTGCATTATAATGACCTCTTTTTCCAGTTAACTAGAACAATGATCTTTCTAAAAGGGGAAAGCATCATGAAAATTCCTATTGGAAAATATAAAATCAAAAGCAATAGTGGTTTACAATAAGAACAATGCTATGCAGCAGGTACTCAAAAGCCTTTCCATCAAGGGACCCAGATGGTAAATGTTTTAGGCCTGGCCAAACAACAGGCAAAATAGAGGATATTCTATAATTAATGACATAACAAGAAAAAGTCACAGTTTTTACAGAAGGCTCCCCTAATAATCACAAACACAATGTTTGCTATTGTTGTTTTTGAGAGTAGAATTCTTTGAGGTCAAGGGCTACTTCATTTAATCCCAAGCCAAATCACCGTACATATAAGACAGTATGTTTATCTGTTAAGAAAAAAAATTCTTAGCTCACTAAATATACAAAAATAGGCACCGGAATAGATCCAAGGACGAGTAGCTCCTAAGGCTGTTTTCCAAGAAATAAACCATCTAGAGGCAAGACGTGAAAAGCAGCAGTAACGAACATGAAGAAAGGCATTGGTGGGACGTATGAGGGAAGACAGTGCAAATAGCGAGATGCTACGAAAACGAATGGAAGAAAACTGGGCCAAAGTCAGGGCTCAAGAAACTGGGTTTCACTGGATAACAGGCATTACTACAACACAAGCTGTGATCAAATAAACTCTGTAATTAGAATACTGAGAACATGGGAGAGGAAGCCTGGAAAGGGTATGCCATTCCATCAGAGTCTGTGAGCGTAACATGGCACCATGGGCATAAAAGGAGTAAATGCAGAGGGGGACGAATACCCGGCCATTCTCAAATCCCCAGGGCAGAAATCGGCCCTCTGCTTTGGAGAAGAGCGGGTTACTCTCTTCGGTGGCTAGGAGAGCGACTACAGAGGAGCAAAGCCGGGGTCGAAATCAAATCGCTAGGACCCTCGGAGGCAGGTAAGTTCAGTAATCCCCTGCGGAGCCTGGGAGGCGCCAGAGCAGCATGTCCAGCATGTCAGACACCACAGTGAGGCCTGAGCCGCCACCGGGAGCCACCATCGCCTACCTCTGTGGGGCCCCGAGGGTCCGCCGAGGCACCCGGATCCCCAGGACGACTCCCCCGACTCCGCCAGCTCCCTACAGCAAAAGGCTCAGAAGCACTTGCTCAAACTCACGCGGACACTCCAGGAGCCGGAAACGCAGGGGCGCCGGAGCGCGTCGCGGACGGATGACGTAACGGCGCATGTGCAGAAGCGGTGCGCAGCCGAGAACTACAAGGGCGAGCCCCGGTGGGTGGAGCCGCCGGGGAGGGGCCCGGCCTTTCGCAGGCGATCCGGGAGCTGAGGTGACCCTTAGTGCTCTGAGCATGGGCTGCGGGGCGCGAGGGAAGCACGAAGAACCCCTGGGAGCCGTCTCGTCTGCGCTGAAGGCTCTGGGCTTTTTCCAGACGAGGAACGACTATAGGAAGTGACGTCTGGGCCCCCAGCAGGCCGGGCTTGAGGACCTGTAGCGATCCGCAGCCGGCCCTGGCCGCGCCCGAGTCTCCCCTGCGGTCGGGGTGGTCGTGTCACCCGCTGGAACGGTCCCCTGTCCCGGGGTTCAGCCCGCGGCGGCAGAGCGGGAACGGACACCTGTCGCTTGTGAGACGTCTTTCTCTTCTTTCTTTCTGACTTTCCCTTTTTCTTTTTTTAATAGCACCTTTTTCGTCTCGTAGGACAATTTCAAGAGTTAGGAAGAACGCGGAGCCCCTGCGATTAGCTTGCTCTTGGTCGGTGCCCACTGCCCGCACTTAAGACTGTAGCCTTGCCTGAGCTCTGGCAGGTGAGCCGACCTCCTGTTTATGTTAACCCTTTCTGAGCATCTGCCATTTTTTTTCCTCTCCTGCATTTTACATTTTGGCATACGACGCCTTTGCTTCTCCTTAGAGTAGGGTCTAGATAAGGGTTCCCTCTATGTTTGCTGTTCTTCCTTCAAAGACTGGCAGTTCCGAATATTGAAACCTTGATTTGTTCTATAGGGCCTGCAAAGAGCATTTAAAGATGACTATTTTTACACCATTTTATAAACAATCGAGTCTCGGGAAATGTATACAATTGTGTGCCCAGAACATCTAATTAGTAGATGTTGAGAATGGAGAACCAGATCCAATTAGAAAATGTGAGAAAAAAATCTAAAAAAAAATTGTTGAAATTAAGGTCAGAAAATATTTATGGAGCACCAGATAGGTTTTGTGTGCGGTGACTCCAGACTGGTTTTAGCCAAGTGTGGTGGCACACGCCTTTAATCCCAGCACTCCAGAGCCAGAGGCAGGGGGACCACAGTGATCCCTCCTCCAGCCAGCTCTGCCCTCTCTACATAGCGAGCTTGACTATAAAGTCAGACCTTGTCTCAAAAAAAAAAAGTGGTCTCTCTCTCTCTCTGCCAATTTTCCCCCTTAATGGGAGCTTGAAAGGAAGCTGTTAAGAGAATAGCAAGCTTTAAAAGAAACACATGACATCCCCTCAGGGAGCCTGCGTGGCCCTCAACCCACCGACACCGGAAAAAACAATTCTTCATGCTGTGTCTTTTTAAAGACCCAGTCTTTAAAAAAAAAAAAAAAGCCCGGTAGTGGTGGCACACGCCTTTAATCCATCCCAGCACTCGGGAGGCAGAGGCAGGCGGATCTCGGTGAGTTCGAGGCTGTGCTGGACCGACAACCTCCAAAAAATACAGAGAAACCTTGTCTCGTAAAAACCCAAAGGGAAAAAAAAAGGCCCAGGCTTCTGTCCGCCGCCTCCATGTTTCATTGAATTCCTGAACTAACTTTCTGTTCTTGTTGCCATCTGACAAAATGTAACTACTTTGCTATGGGATACTTTTTCTAACTGTAGTTTGTCTTCATCTCTCTCTTGGAAGTTTTGGATTCTTCGTTTGCTGCTTAGTTAGTGACCACAGTGATGGACTTGGTAGAGCAGGGTGTGTCTACCAGGATTTAAGAGCTTTTTCCTGGGCTGTACACGATTACCTGCCCGTCTACTCAGAAGATTGTAATAAGGCTGTGGTGGCGCAGGCCTTTAATCCCAGCACTCGGGAGGCAGAGGCAGGCGGATCTCTGTGAGTTCGAGGCCGGGCTGGACCGATAGCCTCCAAAACAATACAGAGAAACCCTGTCTCGAAAAACCAAAAAAAAAAAGAATCAATCTTTTTTTAAGGCTTTTGTTTTGTTTTGTTTTGTTTTTCGAGACATGGTTTCTCTTTGTATCCCTTGGCTGTCCTAGAACTCATTCCGCAGACCAGGCTGGCCTCAAACTCAGAGATCCGCCTGCCTCTGCCTCCCTCCACTGTCTGGCTTCTTTTGTCTTTTTTAAGGATTTTGGGGTCTCTCAATTATGTAGCGTTGACTGTCCTAGAACTTTTCTTGTAGACCAGGATGGCTTCGAACTCAAGAGATCCACCTACTTCTGCCTTCTAAGTCCTGAGATTAAAGTTGTGCACCATCACACCTAGCCTGTGTAATGGTATTCATGTGTATGCTTTCAGGGCTGTTCTACCTGTTACATAACCAGGGTGCTTGTCTCTCGGAAGACTGTTTCTCCTGCTCTATAGTGCTCCACCATGCCCAGCAGGATCAATCTTTTGAAATGATTTTAAAATTAAAACTCTGGACATTGGTCATGTGGCCAATTAATTTTTTTTGGATTCCAAGTAATTCTGATCATTGCACACTTAGTACCCTTTCAGAATGTCCAAGGTGCAGTATGCCATCACATGACAAAAATTAATTGGATGTTCATTTCTTCCCATTTCAAGGAACTCTGTATTTGGGACTCTCATATAACCTGTGATACCGATCCATAATCTACATGTTTTATTTTTCATTAAAACTTACACCAGTTGTTTATGTTTACTCTGAACAAAAGCTGACAACTATACTTTTGATTCTTCAAAAGCAAATTTTGTAGGTGCAGAGAGATGACTCAGTGGGTAGAGGCACTTGTTGCCAAGTCTGATGACTTGAGTTCAGTCCCTGAGACAGTCATGAAGGGAAAATGACCTCCTGAAATGTGTCCTCTGACACATGACATGTCTGCTTATGGCCCGTGTATTCACACACACATGGAAGCAAAATGCAAAGTAATAACTGCTTCTTAAAGTAAGTCTTGTAAAGTGCTTCACTGTCTGAATCATGTATATTATGGAAAACAGTGCTAATCAACTTGGCTACAAGTTGGTTATATCTCAGCTCACACTGGGAGCCACTTCCAGGAACAGTGTTGTTTAAACATGAATCTCAAATTAAAGCTTACTGTTTTAATATGAGCCTGATCCTTAAACATGTGGCAATAGTCAGATATAGGAAAGGGTAGAAACTAGCTGAGATGTGTTAAAATGTAGTGATGGAAATATACTGTATTTCCTTCATCCTTTTCCAGGATGATGGTGGTATCTCTATACAAATGATACTTAGGTTCAGTAACTTGTACACAGCACACAGCTAATAGATGAGAAAGGTTGAGTTCATAGGCAGGTTACCTACCTCTGAGTATTGTGTATCTCCTAGTATGGACAGAGGCTTACAAGAGCACTGTTTGGATTTGTGGTTGAAAGTGATTGTGAAGCTGGGCAATGTGGGCGCACGCCTTTAATCCCAGCACACACGGGAGGCAGAGGCAGGCGGATCTCTGTGAGTTCGAGGCCAACCTGGTCTACAGAGCGAGTTCCAGGACAGCCTCCAAAACAATACAGAGAAACCCTGTCTTGAAAAACCAAAAAAAGAAAATAAAAGAAAGTGATTATATACATTTACATAAGTTAATATGCTACTTTAAATTTTCCAAATCTTTCCTTTCAGATACTTTAATATCCCAATTCCAAGCATACACTGGAGAACACCCTTGAAAAACCAAGAGGAAACCATGAAGAAATGTTTTAATTATTGAAACCATGGCTACATCAGCAAATCTGGACATTGGGGCCCAGCTGATTGTGGAAGAATGCCCCAGCAACTATAGTCTCTCTGGCATGCCAGACATCAAAATAGAGCACCAGCTGGATCCAAACTCAGAAGAAGGGTCAGCGCAGGGCGTTGCCATGGGAATGAAATTCATATTGCCAAACCGATTTGACATGAACGTATGTTCTCGGTTTGTGAAGTCCTTAAATGAAGAGGATAGTAAAAATATTCAAGATCAAGTTAACTCTGACCTGGAGGTGGCATCTGTCTTATTTAAAGGTTGAAAGTTATGGTACAACTCCCTATATTTGCTTTCATTTGCCCTATTTCATTCCGTTTTCCTCTGTCATGAGATCAGAGTTGAGGAAATGAGAAGTCATCTTTTAGGAACATTTTCTAGGATCTCATGGAAGCCAACATTAAATTTATGTTTATATATATATATTCCTTGTCTAAGCAGGTGTAGTGACACATGTCTTTAGTTAGTCCCAGCACTTGAGAGGCAAAGGCAGGTGAGTTGAGTTGAGAGCCAGCCTAGTCTGCATAGTGAGTTCCAGGCCATCCAGGGATACATAGTGAGACCCTGTCTCAACAAATAAAATCCTTGCCTGATCTTTATTTACAATTTCTCTAATTTGATTATTCTTACTTGTACCTTTTTTGTTTTGTTTTGTTTGAGACAGGGTTTCTCTGTGTACTCCTGGGTGCCTTAGCTCTGTAAACCAGGCTGGCCTCAAGCTCACAGAGATTGACCTGTCTCTGCCTCCCAAGTGCTGCGATTAAAGGCGTGTGACACCACCGCCTGGCCTAGTTACATCTTTTTAAATAATAGAAAAATATTCCTTTTCTTTTTCAAAATTAGTTTAATATTTCCTGTTTCATGACTAATTTACATCTATTTTAATCCAGTGATGTGTCAACATGCTTTAAAGTTACTTTGTAGTCTATTAATATTAAAACTAGTCAATACAATTTTTCAAAATTAATAATTTTCTTTGTATAATTTACACTGTAGTAGTATAGACTCATACAAAATTAATATCATCTGATGAACACTTGAATTGAAGCTGTTAAGCCTCATACATTTTTTTTCATGTGAACATTGACAGTTTTATTAGAATGCTTTGTCATTAAAATACTATTTTAATTTGTTTTATTTAGCTGAGTGCAATATCCATACATCTCCTTCTCCTGGGATTCAAGTAAGGCATGTCTACACCCCCTCTACAACAAAACATTTCTCCCCCATAAAACAGTCAACTACTTTAACCAACAAGCACAGGGGAAATGAGGTCTCTACCACACCTCTGTTAGCAAATTGTAAGTATGCACTAAGAATGTACTGAAATATTACTATTAGTGTAATTAACTAATGCAATTACAAATTAGGAGTTTGACTTTGAAATATTAGTATCCCTAAATAAAAATCTAGTTTTGAAAGTTTTAAGTGACACATTAATCACTTTAATAAGTTGAAACTTTTTCATGTGTTTCATGCCTCACCATTTCCTGTTATATCTCTATGAGAACAAATACAGTTTAAAACATTATTAAAACTTTTATAGTTTTACCATAAATAAGTGAGTTACTGTGAATTATTTTCAAATTAAGATATTAATGTTTTTATGTTCTTGGAGTTTCATGTCTAACGTATGTAGGCACATAATTATTGTAAATATGTACTTATATATTATTTCACTAAGAAATAGTTTCTACTAAAAGCTAAATAATTTCTACTGAGGTGCTTCATTAGCATATAAATATAATGACTTTGAATGTGAAGTCATTATATAGGATATAAAGTTTCTCTGAGCTAACTGCTTTGGGTGAGGCATGAGTATTTGAATGAGAGAAAATCCAGCTAACAGTTAGATGACAGTAACTACATTTGGTACCATAATGTGAGTGTGTCTGTATTCTGGTGAATATCTTGGTCTTTATTTTAGAAACCTTAAATCCCTCCAAATGTCACAGTTGCATACTGTTCAGTTGAGACAGGAAGAATCTTCCTCTAGCATTCTGATTCCACCTGTGGACCATTTCTAGTTTACATAAATGTGTGTATGCCTCACAGTTGCTTTTCTGTATTAAGACTACCCAGGCATATCACTAAAGGCAGTACTATTTAAAGTTGCTTCTCAAAGCGATTGTCTTACAATATTCCAACCATAGAACTTATTCTCTGCTGAAAAAATAAAGTAAAAAGCTAAAGACTGTCCTCCATGTTATGAATAAAGATTTTTAGTCAGCTAGTCAGAGTTAACATGCTAACTAGCCTCAACTAAACCTCTACTCATAAATTTACTTTCACCAGCCATGGTGGACACACCTGTAATCCCAAAACTCAGGAGACTGAGGCAGGACAATTAAGAGTTTAAGGCTGTCCAGACTACATAATGAAACTGTCTTTAAAATTAAATTTACCCCTTCAAAAAAAAAAAAAAAAACAAAGCAAAACTCACACAGCCAGTTTTCTATTTATGAACTCATTCCTCATGTTAAGAAATAAAATATTTCTTCTTATTTAAGAAAATAAAAATATTTAGGAGGCTGAAGAGATGCCTGAGCAGTTAAGAGCACTGGTTGCTCTTCCAGGGGTCATGGGTTGGATTGCCACCACCTACTTGGCTGTCAACCCGAGTAACTCCAGATAGAGGGGATCCGAGGCCTTCTTTGGCCTCTATGGGTACTGCAGGCCAAATACCCACTTGCATAAATTTAGAAATACATGTACCTAATTAGCATTTAAACAGCTGGAGATGTAGTATAACCCTGTGGTTTCACTTGTTCCAAAGTTTGAGGTGGGAGGATTGTTTGAACCTACATGCTTAGCTTTGGACTGGGCAGCATGGTGAGATCCTCACTCAGGAAAAGAAGTTAGCTCTTCAGTGGAATCACTAAGAAAACTTTTAAGGATGTTACTGCCTTTTTGGGCCTCCCTCATAAGTTTGGATACAGAAGTAGCATGTTAAAAATTAAGTACCTAAATCACTCTTTAAAATAAATTTTGCCCAAAAAATTAATAATTTGCAGATGTCATATTATCATATGAGTCAGTTCTCAGAGAACAGTATCTGCAATACCAGGGTACTATGTTAGCCTTAAGTGATGAATTGGTGGGTTTTGTTTTGGAGAAGAAACTGGCTTCACTGTGAAACAATAGCTGTGTACCGACAAGATGCACTTGAAGAAGTTTATAATTATATTGTTTCAGCTTTGTCTGTTCACCAGTTGGCAGCTCAAGGAGAAATGCTCTACCTGGCTACTCGTATTGAACAAGGTAATAGCCTAGTTTTAAGTATTATATTTTAAATATTCATTTGAATTTATTAGGCTTGTTTTTTGTTTTATTTTCGTATAGGAAACTATAAAGACAAAAGAAGTTGTATAATCTCACCAAACACATAAGTCAATGGATATCAAAAAGGGAAATTTAAGTAGCAAAGTATAAAATTTGGGGCTTTAGAATGGCTCTGAGATTAAGAGCACTAGCTCTTCTTCTAGAGGACCCAAGTTTAGTTCCCAGCACCCATCTGTAACTCCAGGTGTAAGGGATTTGATACCCTCTTCCTAGCTAGCCTCCAAGGGTACATGTAGTATGCATATCTATATACAAAGAGCAGCACCCATGCAAGTAAAAATCACTTGATTTTAAGAAGAAGGTTCTTTTTGGGGTTTTGGGGGGGGTGAGACAGGGTTTCTCTGCTTTGGAGTCTGTCCTGGAGCTCACTCTCTAGACCAGGCTGTCTTCGAACTCACAGAAATCTGCCTGCCTCTACCTCCCGAGTGCTGAAATTAAAGGCGTGCGCCACCAACACCTAACTTAAAAAGAAGTTTTAGCTTCCTTTTCCCCAAAACAAACATTGTAAGTTTTTTGTATTTTCAGAAAAATTTTCTAGAAATCATTTCCATTTACAATTACATTTGAGAATATGTATGTGCTTTTGTTAAGTACATAAGCAAGAAAATGTTACATACACTGCAGCGTGTCTTTTTTCTTTTAATATTTTAGAGAGTGTTCTACCAAACTTTTTTTTTAATGTGTGTGCGTGTTTTGCCTGTATGTGTATGTGTAGCATTTGCATGCCTGGGACCTGTGAGGTTAAAAGAGGATCCCTGGGAACTGGAGTTAGGATGGTTCCAGCCACCCTGTGGGTGCTGGGAACCTGGGTCCTCTGCAAGAACAATGAAGTGCTCTTAACCACTGAGCCATTTCTCCAGCTGCAAGATCTTTTTTTTGAGAGACAGTCTCACTGTGATGCTCAAGTTGACCTCACTCTCACAGTCCTCTAGACTCTGCCTTTTGAGTTCTGGGATTACAAACACGTACCTCTACACCCAGCCATTTTATACCTTTTCACTATAATGTGTATGTATACACTATGATTTTTATTTGTTTTTTTAACTATTCACCTGGCTGATTACAAATGTTTGCTGGCAGCCCTAGCATTCTTTATAAATAATATCCATTGAGTAAATTTTCATACATAGTATGCCAGGTCATAAACTAAATGATTTTTGTCATGCTGGGGCTGAGTCAGCTCTTCACATGGACTAGAACAGTGCTCAGCCCCAGAGCCACACCTCTACCTCTGCCTTCTTGTTACATTTTAACCGGATGTTTGTCCTCACCTTAGCATTAGTTAGAGTTGCAGTGTCCCCAAACTGTCATAGACTAAGTGAGACTTCAATTCTTAATAATCTTTGGGGGAAAGTGGTACCTCACAGGAATTGCATTCATGTGTGGAAGTTATAATGCCTTTGAGTCTCTTTTTGTCTGAACTACCTACAGTTTATTTGTATGGTATAAACTCTGAAGTGGAAGAAGCTGACTTCTGTTGTTTCTGCTGTTTGTGCATATAGTTTTCCACAGTTTGCCCATTTTGTGTGATCTCTTCAGATTTTTAATTGTAAATTTTTCTTCTTTTTGACTTTGGAATTTCATGTCCTACTTAGAAAAGATTCCCCACTGTAGGAGTATAAAGAAACCACTGATTTTTATGCTGGAACTTGTGTGGCTTTTTTTGTTTGTTTGTTTGTTTGTTTTGTTTTTTCAAGACAGGGTTTCTCTGTGTAGCTTTGGAGCCTATCCTGGCACTTGCTCTGTAGACCAGGCTGGCCTCGAACTCAGAGAGACCCTCCTGCCTCTGCCTCTCAAGTGTCAAGTGCTGGGATTGAAGGCGTGTGCCAGCAATGCCCAGCATGTGGTTCTTTTTTTTTTTAATCGTCTTTGAAGTATAAGAAAACTGCCAGGTGGTGGTGACAGACACCTTTAATCCCAGCACTTGGGAGACAGAGACAAGCAGATCTCTGTGAGTTTGAGGCCAGCCTGGTCTATAGAGTGAGTTCTAGGACAGCCAAGACTATGCAGAGAAACCCTGTCTGGAAAAAAACATCATTGTTGATTACAGGGAGCATGATCCAAGAATTTTATTTTCATAAGACTTAGATGTATTTCTGTTAATACTTAACTATCAGGGGCTGGAGGGATGGTTCCGAACCTAAGAACTGGTACTGTCTTGCAGAGGACCTGAGTTCCATTTCCAGCATCCGCATTAGGTGGCTTACACTGACCTGTAACTCCATGGAGATCTGAAGCACCTGCACTCACATGCACCCATCCCCACCCCCACACCTACATAGTATAAAAATAAAAATAAATATTTAAAAGTAGAAATTTCATGTTCAAGCTACTGAAGTGTAGAGGGAAAGCTGTGCTACACTCAGGGAATAAAATGAGGTTAAGGTGGGATAATGCGGTACTTTTTCAGACTATCGAGTCTGCGCATTATGCTGGCACATGTACAAATGAAGGAAAACCACAGGCAGCAATGCTAGCTAGAATGGAAGGTAGCTTTTGAAAGCTGTTGAAGTTTTACATATACATTCAGGTTATCATATATCATTTTATTGTGATCTTCCCATGTATGTGTTGAGATAAGCAAGCTATTAATCTGTGATTAGCAAAAATTAAGTCACTTGCCCAGAACCAAACCACTAGAAAATGAAAGAACCAGGGTTCTATCTGTTGGTCTCCTGTCCGAGACCAGTATTGACAACCTTGTACCTTACACAATACTGAGTGTGGTAGTTTATACTTTGCAGAATGTGTTCCATGAACCCAGCTTTTTTATAGTGAGTCACATTTTAACATGTCCATACTGAAAATCACAACACATTCAGATTTCAGTAAACAAAAGCCATCTCATTGAACTTCATTGAGTCATAAGTTTTTGCAATACTAGTGGTTTCAAAGTAATATTAATATGTGGTTGTTAAATTAGATCATAAAAATTGCTTTTCTTTTAAATAGAAAATGTTATCAATCACACGGATGAAGAAGGATTCACTCCCCTGATGTGGGCTGCAGCTCACGGGCAAATAGCTGTGGTAGAGTTCCTGCTTCAGAATGTAAGGAAAATGCTCAGAAAATGTGTATGTGTAGTTTCTGGAGCTCAGTCAAGTCTTTAGTGCAGTATTTATATCTGTAGCCAACTAGATACAAAGATGGAGGGTACAAAATAAATGACTGCCTTGGTTCTTGTGGAACCTGGGTCTAGCTGGGAAAGCAGTGGTAGCCATGCATGAGACAGTGAGAAGAGCTGAGTGTCCAGCCCCTCTGAGTAGAGCAGGAACAGAGGTGCTGTCCACAGGTCCTGGAGGGGCCGGACCTTTTCCAGGGTGAAGGAGAGCAAGAATTGAGGCAACTGGAGGGAGGGAGGGAGGGAGGGAGGGAGGGAGGGAGGGAGGGAGGGAGGGAGGGAGGGATCCAGGCAGTTTGGGTTGCAAGCATATCTATCACCTTTCTGTTATTTCCTCATTAATCCTAGAACGTGGCCCAACCTCAGTTTTAAACTGTAGTCATATTGACAGAGACAAGTGTTCTTGTTTAAATTAACTGAAAGTCCTCTGTGCTCACTTCCCACAGGGTGCAGATCCCCAGCTTTTAGGGAAAGGTCGAGAAAGTGCGCTGTCATTGGCCTGTAGTAAAGGCTACACGGATATTGTCAAAATGCTGCTTGACTGTGGAGTTGACGTAAACGAGTATGACTGGGTGAGTCTACACGCTGAATTGAAAACTGCTGTAACACGGCTGTACCTCCCTTGTTAAAGTGCTGGCCTAGCACGCATGGGCCCTGTCTTCAAACCCCAGTGCCTCATAAGCCGCTTGCTGGTGAGCAGCAACTCTCGGGAGGTGGAGTTAGGAGGATAAAGATTACCTTTGGCTTCATGGCTATTTCAAGGCCACGGGACTACTTGAAACCCTACCTCAAAAATAAGTTAATAAAATTAATACAATTACTGTAATAATTTTTAGGATTTAACTGATTTCAGGGAGACATAAGCTTTATTAAGGACTTGAAAGAAAAAAATGTACTTAAGACGAGCAACTTGATGTCATAAATTCAATTATTGCTTGTGACATATTTTTCACAAAGTATTAATATTATTTTAAACTACTTCTACATGCCCAGTTCCATAACAGCCTTTGATTAACTGTTGCTCAATGAGAAGTGCTGATGACCTTTTCCTCCTGCAGAATGGAGGGACACCTTTGCTTTATGCCGTCCATGGGAATCATGTGAAGTGTGTAAAGATGCTGTTAGGTAAGCAGGTGGATATAGTCATTATTCAGGAGCCTGAAAGCATTTTATTTTCAGTTTCCCTGTTAGGACAAGCTTACCTACTGTTCGGTTCTATTGCCCTGCTGGTGTTTGCCCCTGGGTTTCCATTACCTTGGGGCTGCCCTGAGAGAGGCATCTTCCTCACACTCCACCCTGCACTTGAAGCTTTTGCCCTCCCCACTCACATCTGGGGTCACCTTTGACTCCAGTCTGGTATTCTCTGTGCACAGTCTCTTCGTGTATAAGTTGTATCCAGTTATTTATGAGTTTCAGCTACTCTAGAGACGTTTAGGTATCTCCTCCAGCCCACCAGATGAACTCTGTATCCCATGCGCTCAGGACTTTGTGTGAGCATGTTACAAATAGCCTCCAGGTTGACAGAAGATCTGTTTAATCATTTGCATATGATCCAGGAATAGACAGACATTTGTATTTTCATCTTATTTATATAGATTTTTCTGTTTTGTTACAGAAAATGGAGCTGACCCAACCATTGAAACGGATTCTGGATACAATTCTATGGATTTAGCTGTAGCTTTGGGCTATAGAAGTGGTGAGTATTTTAGAACTCCCAGGTTTCATTTTAGGAAGGCTTTATATATAGTAAATGCCAGAGATCCAAACCTTTTTCATCACTTCATGTGTAAAACATTGTATTATCCTAACTCCAGCCATGTGCTTTAATGGATTGCAAAGTAAACAGATGCCTATAAAGTAAGAAATGAATTCACTCATTGTTCTTTATCATAAACTCAATAGTTACTGGAGGAAGATTTTCAAAAATGTTACTTTGGAGTCTTCACTTTAAAAAAAAAGTAATAAAACTTTAGTAGAGAAAACACAGAAGCTCAGGCAGTTGCTGAATTCGGAACTACATAACAGTCCTACTTAGAAATAGCTTCATTTTACAAAATACCAGGCCTAAGTAGAATTTATAGAGCAGCCTTTTGTCTGCTTGGCTTTGTTTCTGTGTTGTGACCTTGGTGGCCTGTCTTTGCAGTTCAACAGGTCATTGAGTCACATCTCCTGAAGCTACTTCAAAACATCAAGGAGTGATGCAGCCCTCAGACAATGCCACCTGCCCTTCTCTTCACTTCTTGGTCCTTTTAAATGACAGTTTTGTTTACGTGTAAATTTTTACCTCAGTTGCAGTATTTGCTGGTTTTTAGTGAGTTTTAATAAATATTCCTCTGAATAATTCACTGGTTTATAATAAAATAATAGTGATTTTTAAAAAATAAATGTTTTACTATATATTTAAAGTTTTAAATTAATGTTTTATGGCATGTAAAATTTTATGGTACAGGTGGTTATGTGTCTTTGTATCAAGTACCACAATTTGACACTTTGAGAAATTCCACCTTGTGTATCTTCACTCTTGTATTAACTCTTTGACTTTGCACAGGGCTTACTTTAAGTCTGTAGGGGAAGAAAAATAATGTACTTGTTGAATTAAAAAGTATACAGTGTGATGGTTTACAAAATCATGTTTAAATAAAATACTTCTGCTGTCTGTGAATTCTAGCTCTCTGATTATGTTTATCAAGATTTTCAGTTTACCATTTATGTTCTACAAATGGATCAACAAGGCACATTTAGAATATTGTTCTCTTATAAGTAGGTTTGAGAGGGAAAAGTCATTATGAAAGAGAAGTGAGATGCTCTTTAACCCTGCTGGAGGAGAACCATTAACTTGCCTTTTACTAAAATCTCAAAGAGGAAGCCGTGAACTGGAAAGTGACTTGACTGACTGTGAGACTTGATTGAGTAAATCCCTTCATCTGAAAAGTAGATATTTTATCAGTTGTAGCCCACATACACTTGATCTGAATAATATAAACAAAAGAGAGCTAAGTGGGGCTGAAAAGATGCCTTGGCAGTTAAAAGCACTGGCTACTTTTGCAGAGGACTGGGATTTGGTTCCCAGCACCCACATGGCAGCTCACAAATCTGTAACTCCATTTTGTGGGGAGGGGAATCCAGTACTCAATGTATGTAGCCATTGAATGCAGGTGGTGCCCATACAACCATGCAGGCAAATACTCATTCACATAAAATTTTAAAAAGTTACGTTACAGGTAATGTTAGGTAAAAGTGCTGAGTTACATGCAAATCTGGTTTTGCCCATATACTTACACTTGGGGGGGGGAGTGGATCTCTGCAGTCACCATGGCCAGCAGACCAACCATCTGCAGGAAGCGTGGAAGCTCGGTTCAGCATGACTAAGTAGCCACTGTTGGTTCAGACTGAGAGTCTGACACCAAGTAGACTATTTTAGGGACATCTAATCACAGCACAATTTGTCCTGGACAAGGACACAGAACTGAAGTTCCCTTTGTCCTTTCATCAGGGCCTCTCAGAACGTCTTCAACTGGTCTGGCTCCCCACTTGTAAGCCTCATGTTTTTTCCACAAATCCAGAGCTTTCCATGACTTAAGAATGAGGGTCAAAATAATGAGTTTCTGCTCAGCAGTCTTTGGAACAAACTGCAGGACTTCTGAAACCTGAATATTTGTTTTTCTATTCTAGGTTAGAACCCTAAGCCCAAGTTCTTCCCACATCTTCCCACCATAGCAGCTAATCAGCGTAAATTCCTCTTTTCTTTGAGGTCTGCACAATGTGCTAAGATACCTCTGCCTTCTTTTAATTTTTGTTTTACTCACTTGGAAAGATAGGAGCATGAGCTCACAAGCATGCACATGTCACATTGAGAGATCGGGGACAATTTACAAGAGTCGGTTCTTGCCTCCCACTGTGTGAGTTCCAGGATTGAACTCGGGATGCTGGGCTTGACAGCAAACACCTTACCTGCTATGGAGTGTGACAGCTGTTCAAGAGATGATGTCCAGGAGTCTGTCGCTGATACCATCAGTGATGGAATCTGGGACAACTTTCTACAGGGCTTTCTATAAGGCTCTGCAATTTAGAGGTTCTGGGATTAAAAGAACCTTCAGGTGTACTTCCAGTAAAGGCAGAACAATTCTAAGATGGGACAGTTAAAAGGCAGTGTTGTAGCACTCTGTGTGGTTAATTCATGAACAATTTGCCAGTGCCTCTCCTGAGGGTAGGAACCTATTCCAGGTAGCAAGGCTGTTAGTGAATCTGGGAGGCCTTTCCACAAAAATGCATACTTTCTGGAATGTTTACACTCACAGCATTTCACTATTGGGAAGGCTAAGCATCACTTCTAAGCAGATATTCCTCCCATTTCCACTACAAGCCAATCAGAATCATATTCTTTTAATATCAGAGACATTATGATCAGATGTGTTAATATGTTTTAGAGTTAATAAATACTTCAGTGGTAGGTAAAGACATGTCTCAGTTCCAGACAGAGATACACAGGGAGCCTTATGGGGGGGTGGGGAACACGACGACAACAGGACAAAAGCCAAGAATTCTCTATCTCCCTCTCTCTCTTCCTGTTTGTTTGTTTGTTTGTTTGTTTGTTTATTAGCGATGGAGCCCAGGTCTATGCTCATGCTATTTGCTCAGCCTTTTTGAGCATGTTTTTTTTTCTTCAAATTGTTTCCTATTGTTTTAAATAAAAGCATATTTCATGTCACAAACACTTGGCCCTAGCCCTGGGTTACATAACACTAGACTAACGGTGGAAAAAAGTGAAGAGGGGCTTCAGGCAAATGGAATTAGAATCAACTACACAAGAGACGAAGACAGTGATGTTTTGACACAGAGCATGGAATTCTTTATCTTTCCCCTCCTTTTTTCTAGAGCATGGAATTCTTAACTGACTTGAGGCTACATATAGACAAACAGACCAAACCAGACAACACAAAACCAAAGTCACTAGTAAGTGGGATTTCTGTCACCTGCTACTGAGGACAGATGCTATATACAGCTTCTGTTAAGCTACATATAACAGATGTATATCTCTGTTATACATCCAGCAGGAATCACCAACAGCAGACCACAAAGGCTAGCCCCCAGACTGGAGAGACGGCTCAGGGATTACCAGCCCTTGCTGTACAGTTAGGAGAGTTGGCGGTCAAAGACCGGCATCCATGTAACAAGCCTGTAACCCCAGCTAGAAAGGGGGCGGAGACTGGAGAATGACTGGGACTTGCTGGCTTCCAGCCTAGCCCAGGCAACATGAGCCCAAGGTTCAGGGAGACAGAAGGTTGAAAGGAGGACTCCTGGCACTCTCTTTAGGCCTCCATGAAGCACACAAGCATGGACAAGCCTCTCCCACACCACATGCATGTGTACATACACTCACACAGATACACACATGCATAAATAAACTAATAATAAAAAATCATTTTGAAAAAGCTAATAATCCCCACTCAGCTATTAATAGATAATATTTTCATAAATGTGTGCAAAGTTGAAGGAAAAACAAATACATAAACTCTGAAGATGGTAGAAAGACCTTGAATCAGAAAAGCCAAATTTCTGTTGCCCCTTGGGCTATCCTTGGGCAGGTATGTAAGTTCATGTGGCCCCAACATTTAATACCATCAGATACCAGCAAGTGACCTTTAAACTGTTCCCAGATCGTTTTCAAAAGACTACAAAGACAGGACACCCTCAAACAACTAAACCTGTGACAAATACTTTAATCTTCTCATAAATAAAGGAAGAAGTCAGGAAGAAGGTAAAACTAGCTGAACATGATGGCACATGCCTTTAGTTTCAGCACTCGGGAGGCAGAAGCAGATCTGAGTCTGAGGCCAGCCTCGTCTACACAGTGAGTTCCAGGAAAGTCGGGGCTACACAAAGAGATCCTGTCTCTAAAACACAACAACAAAAGTTAAAACTGGCCCTGACTCCATATAAGAAGCTGAGTAATTGGGGTGACCTTAAGATAAGATTGCTGGTCATATATAAACCTAGCTAGTGACCAGAAGGAACCTACACTGCATCGAATGGCTCATTCCCACAGCCTAGAACGTTTCTTTCCAAATAAATTCTCCAAAGTGGGGCAGGAGAGACAGCTTTTTGATTCTCAGTACCCATACAGTGGCTGGTAACCTTCGGCACTGCAGTTCCAGGGCATTCAACGCCTTCTTCCAGCCTCCGATAGCACCACACGTTAATGTGCTACACAGATACCATGCAGCAAAGCACCCACACATGGAAGAGTTTTTAACAATTTAAAACCTCTGAAGTAACCTGTGGTTTCACTCGGTCTGTGACCTTTAACAAATAGTTACCATTTAGTCAGAGTCCGTTTCCCCAGGTAATCCTCTGGGGGCCCTTTGTCCCAGATGACATTGAAAGAACATGTCACCATGACCTGTTAAGACTTCAGGGAACGCATGGCTGAGGTTAAGGAAATCTCCCTGGTAATTAATCTCCCTTCTTTCATCAACTGAGTGTAAATGAATACAGGTGGCCTGAAGTGTTGGTGACAACGCTTGTCTTACATCACCCCGCTTATGAGATGGCACAGAGGTCCAGGAGTCACCTCAGGGAAAGAAGTGGAAAGCTGGAGATCTGAAAGCTGGAGATCTGCATGAAAAAAAGGTTAAAGTTTTAATATGCTTGATCTTTACAAAAACAAATGCCTGGACATTTAAGGAAAATAGTAGTGGATGGATTTTCAAAGTTTGTAACTCTGAAATTTTCTTTGGAATGTCAGTTAGCCTCCTGTATGGATAAGATTTTATTGCAATACTTTTTAACACTTTAAATTCTGTTCTTAGCACAAAGTGTTCATACATTCTTATACTGTTGATAGGTTATATATATATATATAGAGAGAGAGAGATGATACACACATGCACAAGATAGATGCTTTGTCATGTTATATGATTTACTATTTATATATCTAGTTGGGGCAAGGAATATACTCTGATATCTTAAAAGATTTGCTGTGTGAAAAATAAAACGTTTATAAATCTGATAGTTTGAAAAAATTGCTGCACAAACTCTGGCTATTATAAACTCATAAGTATTCTTTTTAATATTTTTTGTGGCAAGTCTCCTCAAATTACCTGCCTAATGACAGTCTCAAAGGTTTGCCTTCTTACCAGTAAAATTTCAAATAGTTGCCATACCTTCTTGTATGTTTAAAAATAATTTATTTATTTTTATTTCATGTTCTTTGGTGTTTGCCTACATGTTTGTCAAATCCCCTAGAAGTGGAGTTACAAACAGCTGTGAGCTGCCATGTGGTGCTGGGAATTGAACCTGAGTCCTCTGGAAGAACAGTCAGTGCACTTAACCACTGAGCCATCTCTCCAGCCCCAACTTTTCTATATTTTAAAATGTATGCGTATTTTTTTCATAACAGAAAGTAACGATAGTCAGGACTAGTGTCATAGGCCTGTAACCTCAGCTCCTTGCAAGGTTGAGGCGGGAGAATTGCAAGCATAAGCCTTTCTGGACTGCAGTATGAATTCAAGACTAGTTAGACAACTTAGTGAGATCCTTTCCCAAAAGAAAGAGAAAAAAATGGCTGTGTGACTTTGGGGATCCCCCATGGAGGGCCTCACCCTCCCTGGAGAGCAGAGGGGGGCATGGCGTAGGGGCTCGGTGGGGGGCGAGGAAGGAGGGTAGGGAGAGGGAGCTGGGATTGAAATGTGAAGCAAGCTTGTTTCTAATTTATTATAAATAAATTTTAAAAAATAGCTGTGATTATAGCTGGGTGGCGGGATCCTTGCCTGGCATGTGTAAGGCCTCTACAGGCATTAGCATGTCCATGGTACACACGCATAAATGCAAGACACACATATATATATAACATATTAAGTAAAATTTAAGGAATAACTTTTTTGAAAAATAACCAAGGAAGCTGGAGAGATGGCTCAGCAGTTAAGAGCACTAGCTGTTCTTCCAGAGGCCCTGAGTTCAACTCCCAGCAACCACACAGTGGTTCACAGCCACTATAGTAGGATCTGATGCCCTCACTTGGTGTACAGGCATACATGCAGATAGAGCACTCATATACATAAAACAAATAAATCTTTTTTAAAAAAACATAGCATAAGCACTAGAGAGAAGACTCTATTGTTGCTCTGGCAGAGGACCTGGGTTCCATTCCCATAGCCCACATGGTGGCTCACGATGGTCTGTAAATCTAGTCCCAAGGGAGCTGATGCCTTCTTCTGACCTCCAAGGGCACCAGGCATGTGGTGTATATATGTGCAGACAAAACATTCATACACATATAATAATAAAAGTAAATAAATCCAAAAATTACTTAACATCTGTTATGGTATTAAATCTGTAACAGAAATCAAGAAATGCTTTCCTACCAAGGCAGTGGTCGAGTATGCTTTTAATCCCAGCACTTGGGAGGCAGAGGCAGACAGGTCTCTGTGAGTTCAAGGCCAGCCTGGTCTAAAAAGTGAGTTCCAGGACAACCAGAGCTATTACCTAGAGAAACCCTGGCTCAAAAAAAATGTTTTACTGTTGGTGCATCTATGGTCTTTTGATTTGAAAGGGTCAGAAGTGTGACTATTATTCTGGGAACAGTTACAAATACATTTCCTGCTGAATTCGCTCAGTAAAATTAGTACAGTTGACCCTCTGTACATACAGGCCTGAATTCACAGATTCACTTGACTACTAGAAATAACCAAAGTAACCAAGGTTGCCTCTGTATTAGACATCTGCAGGCTCTTTTTGAATCTCATTATTCCCTGCAAGAATAGAACAGCAGCTACTTAACCATCCTTCACACTGCATTACCTAGAGATGGCAAAGTAGATGGGAAGATGTGGATAAATTATACATACATTCTGGCACACGTTACTTAATGGACTTTAGCATCTGTCCATTTGGGCCTCAACTTCAGGAATTACTGGGTCCAGTCCCCTGTGGATCACAGGGGGGGCTATGCAGGAAACAACATGGTATGTTTAGTCTCCAAAATGGCAGATTCACTTGAGTTTCTTTATGGACACACAGCATCTGAAACAATTAGATGTTTGATATATTTCCTCTCCCCAGCCAGTGGAGACAGGTTCTGGAAAGATATGTTACATCTCCCAGAATCCACTTGTGGAAAAACATCATAATTTTTTTTGTGGTGTTCAGTCGAGCTGTTCATCACCTATTCCCCATAAAGTATTAGGAGATTTCCTCTAAAGGTCATTAATTCTTCAGCATGAATTACCCCACGCTAGAGACCGGGCTGGCCCTGAGGAAACTGTGGGAGCCAACACCAATGCAACTCCCTGTCCCTGGATCCTACATGAATTCGTCTCCCGGGTGATCTCCGCTGAACCATGCATCCTAAAACATCATGTTAATCAATGTCAGGTTCCTCAGACATCAGCTTGTACCAAGGAGGGCTAATGAGCTTCCTTGCTGTTTTCTGCTCTAGAGGGTCCTAGAACAGAGGAGTGGCATTCACTGAGGCACTGGCCTTCGGGATTCATGGCAGCTCACAGGATTCACCCACAAAGCCAGGTAACTCCTCCAAGGCGCATGCCCATTATGAAATCTTTTCTTGAGGTGTCCTGGGGTTTCCTTGCCACAGAGATGGGCAGTGATAATGAAACCAATTGCTGGTGTTCTTGGCTTAGTGAGAACCCAGTTTCTGAGTCCCTCAGATGTTTTAGGAATGATTGTTAAGAATTTAAAAGCCTGCCTACCTGGCTAAGTCAGAGTTTAGCATCCTGGCCTTCTCTAGAGAACAAGCCACTCCCTCTGCCATTCCAGGTCCTGGACCACAACACTTGTATTCATGACAACCCCAAACAGAAACAACCCAATTAGTTTTTAAGATTGTAGTTTATTTTAATTATGTGTCTATCTGTGTAAGAGTGTGTGCATGTGAATGCAGGCTTCTGAGGAGGCCAGAAGAGGGCACACGATCCCCTAAAACTAGAGCTACAGGCAATAGTGAGCCACTCGATGTGGTTGCTGGGAACCCAACTGCAATCATCAGCAAAAGTAGTGTGTGCTCTAACCACTGAACGATGTCTCCGGCCCTGACGACCCCCCGACTGGTTACCTCTCCTGTCTCCAGCCCTGATGACCCCCCACTGGTTACCTCTCTCATCTCCAGCCCTGATGACCCCCCACTGGTTACCTCTCCCATCTCCAGCCCTGATGACCCCCCACTGGTTACCTCTCCCATCTCCAGCCCTGAGGACCCACCCACTGGTTACCTCTCATGCCTCCAGCCCTGAGGACCCCCCCATTTGTTACTGCTTATGTCTCCATCCCTGACAACTACTATTGGTTACTTCTATTGGAGGAGTGGGAGTCTATTTATTGAACAGGAACATGCGGGCTCCCTCTATGTATTGGAAATATTCCAAATCTTGCCTTGGGTAGTGATTACATGGAAATGTGTTCAAGGTCAATCAATCACGCTGAGTACATCACATTCTTACGCTTTCCTGTAGATATTTAAGATAACAATCTTAAAGTATGCGTAAGGTGTCATCCTCATCACAACTAAACTCAGACGGCTGATGTACTTCTGTTGTGGAGTTGCTTCTTGTGTGGATAGTTCTTTCTGGTGTGCTACAGTGGAGTCAGAACTGGAAAGTGTTAATTAAACAGTCGATGATACTACCTGTGTCAAAAGCAAGGAAACGGCGGGGCAGTCTCACCCTAAAGTCCACGTGTTCCGGCCTGTTCTGTAATCCATACGTGTATCATGACCATCACTGTGTGAAGGCTTCACCTTCTCTTTCAGGTGACAGGAATCTCCTTTCTTCATCATGCCGGAGAAGTGCCTTCAGATCAGCATCATAAAAGAGGTGATGTTTCTACCTTAAAAAAACAAAAAACAAACAAACAAAGCTAGGAGCCTCTGCAAGAGCAACCCTGCTGAGCGTCTTTCCAGCCTCTAATGTCAGCTTTTATATTTTTTTTACTTCGTCGAAATCTCAGTTTTCATATATTCTTTTTACTTCACGGAATTCTTTCTTTAATTGAGTTTATTGTTTTGAGGCTGGCCTTGAACTCATGATCCTATGTCTCTGCCTCCTGAGTGCTAGGGCCATAGACATGAGCTACCACGCTGATTTGTTTTCCAAAACTGCTTTTTGTGTGTGTGGTATCTTCCCATCTCCTCCCCACACATCATCTCCTGTCCTTAGTGGGTGTTTAATGATTAGTTATTTCACATTTTGCCCTGCCACCTGAATTAAGTTTCCTCCTGGTTCCTTTCTTCTCTTGATCTGTCTTTCACATTGCATCATCCTCAAAAGCATCCATTTGGACTGGAAATAGAGCCCAGTTTATAGACCACTGTGATAGAATGCAGGCAGCCCTTGGTTTGATCCCCAGAACTGCATGTACTGTACATGATGGCACATGCTTGTAATGCTAGCACTTGGCAGACAGGCAGCTCAAGGTCATCCTCAAAAACCTCGACTACACAGTGAATTTGAGGCCAGCCTGGACTATATGAGACCCTGTCTAGGAAAGCAGGTACGCTGCATCTGTGTGATGCTTTGAAGGAGATAGCCCCCAGAGATCCAGATGTTCCAATACTTGGTCCCCAGTTAGTGACACTGTTTGGGGAGGTCTAGGAGGTGTGGGGGTGTGTCACTGGGGGTGAACCATTCCCAGTTTTCTCTCTGTGATTTAAGATGGGAGCTCACAGCTTGCTGCTTCAGCCCCCGGACCTGTCTGCTGCCACACTTCCCTCGAGTGACCATGATGGACCTGGAACTCAGGCCTTGGTCGTGATGTTTTATCATAGCAATGAAAAAGTAACTAATGTTTTCTGTCTGGGTGGGCTCTGGGGGCCTCCGGCTGTGAAAACGTGCAGAACTTATTCTCTGGTGAAGGGCTCATTCATCCTTGACCGTGAGGACAGATGTGGAGTTGGCCTTTGAGAGCCCCGGGTAACGTGCACCTAAGCTTTTTTTCTACCTTCTGCCTCTCTCTACCTGCAGCATGCCTGCTGCTTCTAAACCCAGAACTCCCTTGTTCTCCAGAAATCAAGCCTGAAGATTAAGTTGCCCCGCTGCCTAGAGAGAGACAGGATCAAATTCCAGTTGTTCTCCAGACTCCCAAGTAATACCCCTAATGACTGCCCCCGGCCCTGCTCCCATGCTACTGCTCATCCGTGATGCTTTCTGAAGGTAGACAGGACCAGTTATCCGGCTCTTCATCATACTGCCATGAAGATCCTTAGCCATCACCAAACTCCTCTCTGTGAGGTCATTGTCCTCCTTCTTCCACTTTCAATCGCCATATACCATAGCTGAGACGGTGTGGCAGCCATTCTTCTTGCACACGAATCTCATTCTGCCTTTCCTTCCACTTGTCCTGACTCACATCTGAAAGAAAGGGAGCAGAAATACCTTTGTCCTGTCTTCTTCGAAGCAATATTGATCTGCTTTCCCAAAGCCCAGCGCCAGACACTGTTCTCTGTAACAAATAAGCATGGAAACGCCTGAACATATTTACTGTTACCTGACCTATCACACATCGGCACTTCTAGAACTTTTCACAGTCTGTGGTGTACCTAGAAACCCACAAAAACAGACTTGGCACTGGGCAGAAAGAGATTCCCTTTTCCTCCACGTCAGCCTTTTATCGGTCTGTCCTCACTGCATGATTTATAAGCACACCAGTCAATAAAATGGAAGGTCCCTGAAAAGCCAGCGAGCCTTCAAACAAGTTAATAAGACTTGACCCATTCCATGGAGACAAAAAGAGGCAACAGTTCAAAAGCAACTGAAATGTCAACAGGACTTGCAAAAGGCCAATCAGCGACTCCAGAATAAAAATGCTGAGTTGTTGGTAATCTTGGGCAGCTGAAGACAGAAGTGTATTACAAAGAATTCAAGACAAAGTTCTGGCGCTGAAAAGCTTAGCTTTGATGAACTAGGAAGGCAAGAGAAATAGTCCTGAGCTATTTCCCAGTTTAGAAAGATTTTGTTTATCCTTTTTCCGCTAGAGTTGGAGCCAAATTTTTGTTAGTTCTTAATATTCCTGGCCACTCATGTGCTCAAGTCAATGGTGCATTTCTGGGAACAGCCTGTCACCACAGGCTACAGACTGAGACAGAAAGGGGCCTGTCCTTGTGACAAGCTGTCTCCTCTTTCGTCGCTTTGACCAACGACTCCAGGACACTGGCACAGTGGGCTGTGTTCTTCCCAGGGATACTGAGTTCTCAGCTATGCTCTATTTACCTGCTTTGCTGTGAGAAGCAAGACACTTAGAGTTGAGCAACCATTCTTAATAAACATTCCAGCCACATCAAACACACAGACAGACAGGCAAGCTGATGGCACACACCTTTAATCCCAGTGCTGGGAGGTAGAGGCAGACAGATCTCCGGGATTTTAAGAACAGTCTGGTCTACCCAACAAAGCTAGTTTCCAGCAAGCCAGGACTACATAGCGAGTTCCTGCTCCAATAAATAAATAAATAAATTAATCACAGAATTAGATAATTCTTGAGAACAAAGACTGAGTCCTTTCATTTTAGTCCATCTACTAATCCACTCATTCATCTTATAAGTGATTCCATTTGCAGTCTTTATAAGATTTGCCGCATAGTGAAAAGGCATGACCTTTAAAATCAAATATCGCCGGGCGTTGGTGGCACACGCCTTTAATCCCAGCACTTGGGAGGCAGAGGTAGGAGGATCTCTGTGACTCTGAGGCCAGCCTGGTCTACAGAGTGAGTTCCAGGACAGCCTCCAAAACAATACAGAGAAACCCTGTCTCGAAAAACCAAAATAAATAAATAAAACAAAATAACTGGATCCGACTCCTTATGCCCCAGTGTTTATAAAGTCCTCAGTTTCCTTTCTCCATCAATAAAGCTAAAGACCGGTCTTGGCGAGCTTGTTTTGAGGGTACCTAAAGTTATTGGCGTATAATAAGCACTGGATGAAAAGGTGTGGCAGTTGTGACTGTCATACATTATTGCGTCACTCTGTTGAGCCAGACAGGCCTATCCAGTTTCCACATCCACCTCAGGAGGCCGTTTTGTTCCTAAGGCTTCTTAGCTTGATGGAAAGAGACTCATTCTCACTAACTCGTGACTGACTCATCCAAACTGAAGGAGGTCTCAGCCCCTGACAAAGACTTTCTCTTTAAGTCACAGTCAGGCTCACCTGACTCTGTAAGTAGGCTCACTCCCTTGACCTCCGCCTGCAGTCTTAGTTGCTCTTCTATTGCTATGAAGAGACACCATGGCCAAGGCAACTTTTAGTAGGCAGGTATGGAACTGGAGGAATAGCTCAAAGCAGAGAGAGAGTTAACTGGGAATGTCTACCCCAGTGACACATCTCCTCCAATAAGGCCACACCCCTAATTCTTCCCAAAGAGTTCCACCAACTGGCACCCAAGCATTTAAACAGATGAGCCCCTGGGGGCCATTCTCATCCAAACCACCACACCTGCTAAGCTCAGGTTCAGCACAAAAATCTTACATAAATCAGTTACCAGCAATCCACCCACTAATGTCATGTGCATTTTGCCATGTCATATTGACTGGTCCCTCACTCTGCACGCTGGTTATACAACGCTCAGTTCTCTCTGTAAGATATAGAGTTGAGATCTGCCTTTTTGCCTACTGCAACTGTTTTGTTTCTTTTTTTGTTTTGTTTTGTTTTTCTAGACAGGGTTTTTCTGTATTGTTTTGGAGCCTGTCCTGGAACTAGCTCTTGTAGACTAGGCTGGTCTCAAACTCACAGAAATCCACCTGCCTCTGCCTCCCGAGTGCTGGGATTAAAAGCGTGCGCCACCACCAACCGGTTCTGTAACTGTTTTCGATGAAGCCTTTTTTGACTAAAAAGAGTTCATAACTGTCCATTTCACTCCTCATCTCCATGTGTCTGTTTCTTACTGGACATTGCCACTGTTCACAGAGATTCAACATGAACTTGACCTCTGATATGGTTTGGATGTCATTTGTCACAAAATGTTCACACACTGGGACCTTGTTTCCTGTTGTGGTGGAGCTGAGAGCTGGGGAAGCCTTTTAGAAATCAGGTGAATCATGAAGTTCTTAATACACTCAGGGCTGATCCATGAGAAGGGCTAAGAGAACTCCCGTGGGTCCTCTGTGCTCTGATGAAAGCAAGTTGCTATGGAAACAAACTTGATCCCTGAGTGGCTCTGGCTTTCTAGTTCAATATGGGATCTCTCCCACTCACACACATGCCCACTGTTGGGACATCGTCTGCCCTCACTAGAGCTCAGCCAATGCTGCTGCCATGCCCTTGAACTCCAGAGTTAAATAGACCTGCTTTCTCTATACAGTTAGTCTACTTCCAGTACTTTATTGTGGTGGTATAAAGTGTATTAATACGGTCTTCCCATGTCAGGACATGCTGCCCTGAGAGCCCACTTGGTTTCTCTGAAGCTGAGCCACTGCCAGTTTGTACACTGAGCTGCAGAAATGCCATTCTGATGACAGAAGGGTCAGAGCTGGCTCGGCAGACACAGTGGCCTCCATTGTAGGCTCAGACCTCCTCCACACACCTGCCTCAGCCTCAGGAAACTTCTCTGCTTCTCTTTGCCACCTCAGTGCCCCCAAGGCTTTGCCCCCCTGTAAACCTCCACACATCCTTTTAGGACACCACATTCCTGAGTCCTCCTATGATTAAAACAAGTCCATCTTGTTTTCCCAGGTCGCTGAGCCTGGGTGAGTGACTCACTAATCCTCTGACAGCCCTCTCTTTAGTGTGAAAGACAGGAACTCCTGGATCAGCTTCTCACACGCATGCAGTCAGTCAGGAGTTTATGCAGACCATGAATTTTGGAGCCTGTCCTTCTAACCCTGTTTC